TTTTGTTTTAAATTAAATTTACGAAAATATATAAAAACGTTTTGTGACGTCATTATTACCCACCTGCCCCTCCCCCCCCGAAAAAAAAACAATTTCAAACGTTTAATTAAATTATTAATTTGTCGTAAAAAAAAAATTTTTTTTTTTTTTTTTTTCCCCTTTCGGTCACATATTTTTTTAACCGTTAATTATAAAAAGTTATTATTATTATTATTACGTTATAATTATGACGTAACTATGGGAAATTTTTTTTTTTTTTGTTTTAAGTATGCGTGAATTAAATTATAACACGAAAATAAAATAGTAATTAAAAAAAAAAAAAAAAATAGAATGAATAATAATAATGATAATAATGGCGTCAAGGTCTTAAATAACTCGTTCGATTTGCTCTACGATGATGATAATGATGATGATTTGGCGAGTATTAGTTAATCGAAACAAAAACGGATGTCGAAATGGCGGATAATAATAATAATAACGTTACTTAATATGTTACAAAAAAATGATTTAAAAAAAAATAATAATAATAATAATTATAGGTTTAAAAATAATTGATGGAGATTAAAGAAATCAAAGGGACGGGGGGGGAGGAGGGAGCGGAACACGTCCGTTGCAATTTTTTTTTTTTTATACCTGTTTACGAATCTTAAAAATTTTTTTTTTTTTTTAATGGCGGTCATAAAATAATAAAACATATGAATTCGTATATAATTTAAAAAAAAAAAAAAAACGAACTCTTATGATGATAATGATGATAATCGAACGCAAGGTGAATGAAAATTTTTAAAAAAAGTTTTTTATTAAACTCCCAGAATTTAAAAAAAAACATGGCTTGAATGTCGTTTTTTTAATAAAAACTTTTACCGTATTATTAATTATAGTTTGAGGACTCATACGGAAGGTTGTTTTGTTTTATTTTCGAAGAAGCAGAAGAAAAAATACAATGTCATTATTATTATTATTATTATTTTTTTTTTTTAAATGTCGAACTGTCAATAAAAAAACGTTTGAAAATTAATGTTTCGTAAGGATTTACGGTTGGTTTTTTTTTTTTAATTTTTGAAATTTTACACACGCCCTAACCCCCCGTAACCCCTACCCCCACCCTACCACCCCTTTAACTTGTTATTGTTTTTTGTCAAGCTCTATAAATTTTATTATTATTATTATTTAAAAACATTTCACGATTGATTTATGTACGTTAAAAGTGATGAGATGTTTTTTAACAATAAAATAATAATAATTATCATCATGTTATATGGATACGCCTAAATTGATAAAAAAAATTTTTTTTTAAGGAAGTATTCCGCCATTTTGTTTTAACAGTGAATTTAATTATATTTCGTGATCTTGCATATGTATGGAAAACGAAAAGGTCAAGTCGTGGTCACTCTCATCAACGTTTAAGTCATTTAAGGTTAAAAAGTTTAAATACCCTTAATGTAATGTGATAAAAATGATATGAAACCGAACATGACCACGTGATCAGGTACGTACACCTGATCTACCTGACACGTCAAAGTTTGTTTGTTAATTTACCCGTAAATCGTTAAATTAAATTTATTATTACATTAGATAAAACGTTCGATTGTGTAAACAATGTCTCACGAATTAACGTGGCAATAAAATCGTAATTAAACAATGTGTTAATGCATCGTCGTGGCATTAGTTTTTATTTAGCGAAAGTTTTTTTTTATGTAGCAAATCGAAAAATAATAATAATAACTACACTCATATATCGCATTGAAAAGTTAATAAATTTAAAATAAAATATTATTAATTATAATACCGGTGATTATTTTGCCATCGAATAATTTATTTATTTATTTATCCTGTTTGCCAACATGTTTGCCAACATTTAAAAAAAAAAAAAAAAAACAAGAAAAATTACTTACCACCGTAACAATTTATCGAATTTGTTAATATGGTTTCCTTAAATCTAACTCCTCTCAACGAAGTCAACGATTCGCTCATGTTGAATTTTCACTTGATTTTTCTCGAAAATTCTGCAAGAAAAAAAATAAATTAAAATTTTTTTTTATGTCAGGTCATTTGCCCAGTGAAAAAAAAACTCATCGAAGCAGACGATATCGAACGATATTTATGTGATGACACCATTTTAAAAATTTATTAAATAAAAAAAAATTCAAACGATACGTGTGTATAATACGTGATAAGAACAATAATTAATTTAATTATTATTATTATTATTATTACATTCAATACGACAACACGATAATGTTAAATCCCCGGTTTTTAATTTGTACTAAAAAAACTTTTAATTTAAAAATAAAAAAAATTTTTTTTTTTTTGTTACAAAGTCACACCGCACGAAAATAATAAATGATAAAGAAGCTGTAAAAATGTAAAAATGTAAAAAACAAATAAAAATTTTTTTTAATGTCAACGTTCTTTAAACAATGTTATAAAAAAAATTATTATCACCTACATGTTTTTATATTATTGTCTTCCTACTACTTCTCGTGATTAAATATAATAATAATAATAATAATAATAATTTTATTAAGTTTATTTTTAATGACTGAATGAACTAAATTTTTTTTTTTTTTATCTTAAATTAAATGTTTTAATTATTTAAAAAAAAAGAAAAAAACTTCACCTGTGTGTGTATGTGTGTGTGTGTGTGTGTATGTGTGTGTGTGTGTGTAAGTGTGTGTGTGTATGTGTGTGTGTGTGTGTGTGTGTGTGTGTGTGTGTGTGCTCTATTAAATTAAGCATTTTAAAACAATAAAAAGGGTCAGAGACATTTTATCTCAAAAGTTATTATTTTTTTAAAAAACCATAATTAAAAGTAATTTTAAGTAATAAAATTCAATTTAAAAAAAAAAAAAAAATTAAAATTTGTTTACTTTAATAATTTTTAATAACTTGGTGATAAACTGGTACAGAAAGGGATGCTGTATAAGTTGTGATGAAAGAAAAAAATATGCTACACACACACACATATAAATTAATTTTTTTTTCATATGTTATATATATTTATAAACCGTCCGCCATTTTTAAAATGTTAAAATATAGTTTTATGTAATTAATATCAGAATTACATTTATCCTCCTGATTGTAAGCATCTATGTTGCATCCTGTAGGAGTTAATGATTTTGAAAAATATGTTTCATGACAAACATTTACAAAAAAAAAAACATTCTGATGATTTAAAGAAATGTTTTTACAAACCTGAAATGTTTTTACTAAATCACACAATAAACAAAAAATCTTTTTCTTTTTTTCATCAATTATGACTTTTGGCTTGTTTGTTTGATTGTTTGTGAATGAAACTCTCTTATATTTGAGTTGAGTGAACACACACACACACACACACAAATCTATACACACTTGTTTGCCAAAATATACCTTAAAACAAACTGAAAACGGTAGAACATGTTAAACAGTCACACATATGGTAGGTAATATCAGGTACGCCTACTTTAATTTATTTAACAATACTTGACAGTAGTGACAGTAGTTGCCATTCAATGTGTTTACAAAGTTTTCTTCCTTCCCAATTAAGTGTGGGATTCATATATGGTGAGGAGAATTGATTTCAAGTTGACCAAGTTCCTTAAATTGCTCCTGCCCCCCCCCCAAAAAAAAAAGTGATTGTCAAATTGTTCTTCAATGATATAAAAATATCTTGTATATATGATTACATAAATGAAACCAATTTGATATGTGTTGGAGTGGTTATTCTTAATAAAATTGTTAATTTTAATGATGAAAATGGTATATGTTGGATAGCATTACCTTGAAAAGGGTAAAAAAGGTGACAATTGTAACAATTTGCTATTAACTCCTACTTAAACCTTCCTTCACCAATGAAACTCTGGTTGAAATCTTTGAATGTTTTTTACTTAATCATGAACAAATAAGTCTCTTACACAAAGTATTTGTTGTATGAAGTATGAAAATATATATACATTCAGTTTATATATTCAAAATTTCATTTTCTCCTACTGTACACCATTTTGAATTAGTATAGGATTTGAATGGGCCAAAGTGACCAAATGCATAGAAACAAGACACAAGTATAAAATTGAACCTGGAATGGTAACCAAATTATAAATCCAAATAAAAATATTCTCTTTTACAATAGACACACACTAAATCTCTTCGAAATTAGTAGTTAAATAGAAAAAAGCAAACGAAGATTTTTTCTTTTCCCCCTTGCAATTCAAGGGTTCTGAAAATGGCGGTTTGGATTTGTTCGAATAAGAGAGTCGTAATACAATTTTAATTGTGATTTGTCATTAATTTTTATAAAAAATCATAATTCTGTACAAAGTTTTTCAACACCTACCTTAATCAAATTTATTTGAAGTCATTATTTTCCCAATTATAAGAGTAATTATGACAAAAAAAAGAAATAAAGAACAAACAAATTGTATAGAACGTTCGCACCAATTCGATAACTACGTTAGTCAAAAAAATCTCTTAATAATTTTTTGATTTTTTAATGTCGTTGAAAATTTTGTGAAATTTATTCGAAAAAATTATTTATAAAAATTATTATTATTATTTTTAAAACGTGATAATAATAAAAAAAAACATGCGGAAAATTTGAAAAAAGTATATTATTATAAATCAAAATAGAAATTTTAAAGTAATTCATTTTGAAAAAAGTGTTTCATTGATTAAAGCAGTAAACGAAAAATGTCGAAGACGACTTCGTTTACCATAACGAAAGTTTATATTTTATATACCAAAAAATTAATAAAATAAATAATCAATCGATAATAAATAAATTTAAAATATTTATATTAAAAAATTTTTTTTAAAGTGTTCATTTTGTTTTTTTTTTTTTTATTGTTTTTTTATTACATGTAGTAAATGCCCCGTTATTTATATAATGAATAAAATTTAAAAAGATATATAAAAACGATTCCCAAAAAAAAAAAAAAAAAAAAATATATATAAATAATAAATCAAAATGGAATTTTGAAAGACACGTTTTTTTTTTTTTCTTTTTTTTTTTTTTTTTAGCATTACAAATAAACATTTAAACGCCTTTGTTTTTCATTTAAATATTTTCGAACGTTGGAATGAAATACCGTTGAATTTTCCGTAGATTTCGTACGAGTAGTTATTTTTTTTAATATTTCCGCATATTTGGGTAATTTTTTTTGTCCCTTATGATGTACAGGTTTAATTGTCATTATTTTATTTTCTTCACAATTCCCACGATTATTTTCAAGACAGTGTCTGATTATGGTTGCCGCTTTCATTATATCTTTTTCGGTTATGTTAAGAGGTGGTAATAAATGTATCAGATTTTGTTTGTTTGCCTTTACGAGGAGACCATGTTTCATCATGTCGTAACAAATATCCGTTGCATTTATGTCTGAAAATTAATAATTAATAATTACTAATATATACTTTTATTTATCATTTAAGGGTGAGATTGATCATCATCATCATCATCATCATCCTACCACAATTAAGAACGATAGCATTTAACAATCCCAATCCTCGTACTTCGGTTACGATATCCTTAGGAAGATTACATAGGCAAGCTCTAAGAAGTTCTCCCATTGCTTTAGAATTATCAATTATATGTTCTTCTAAAAGAGTTTTCAATGATGCTGTTGCTATTTTGCAACCGAGTGCATTTCCTCCATATGTCGAACCGTGGGTACCTGGTTCTATAACATCCATAATTTCAGAATCAGCTAAAACGGCGGATATCTAAAAAGTTCAATTCGATTACATTTTAACAAACAATATGTCGAAATATGTTTGTTTTTGAAATTTATTGTGAGAAAGGCGTGAAATATGGTTAGGCAACTACTTAATTATGATAAATAAATGACGAAAGTAATTCGAAAACTCGTTAAAAACATACTGGCATGAATCCGGCAGATAATGCTTTTCCTATAACTAGTATATCCGGTCTAACTCTGTATATATCACAAGTCAATAAACTTCCGGTTCTTCCCAATCCGCATTGAACTTCGTCGGCAATCATCAAAACTTTATTTTTCGTACATAATTCTCGTACTTGTTTTAAATAACAGGGATCTGGAATGATGACTCCAGCTTCTCCCTGAATGGGTTCTATAATACAAGCGCATAAATTCGGATCGCATATTTTACTTTTTAAACATTCTATATCGCTGAATGGTACGGTATCGAAACCAGGTACGAAAGGACCGTAATTGCTGAAATTTGCAGGATCTGATGATGCGGATATCGCAGCTATGGATCTTCCCCAAAAATTATTTTCGGCAAAAATAATTTTGGCTTGATCTGCTTCTATACCTTTACATTTGTAACCCCATTTTCTTGCTAATTTCACTGCCGTTTCGACAGCTTCCGTTCCTGTGATACCAAATTATTATTATTATTATTATTTAAAAATATGTATGAATGTTAGTCAATTTAACTTCCTCACCGGAATTCATGGGAAGTACTTTATCGTAACAAAATAATTCCGTTACGAATTCAGCATATTCGGCCAAAGCTTGCGTGTAGAAAGCTCTGGATGCGTGTGTGAGCAATTTTGTTTGTTCGCAAATAACTTTTGATATTTTCGGATGACAATGACCCAATGATACGGATGCATAACCTGATAAGAAATCCAAATATTCTTTTCCATCGACATCGTATAATCGCGAACCTGAAAACCGTAGGAAAAAAAAATCTTTTAGATATTTCGTGTGTGTGCATACACGTTTACATAAAATGTTTACAAAAGGCGGAATTGAGAGAGAGAGAGAGAGAGAAAAAAAGAAATTTGTGAAAAACACAAACAAAGACAAACACACATACAAACACAAACAATACAAAAAAAAAAAAAAAAATTTTAGATAATGATAAAAAAAAAGAGGTCAAGGGCTTGAGGTTTTATTTAAATTTTACCGAACCGTGGGTTAAAAATGACGTAATAATAATAATAATAATAATAAATTCGTCTGTAATAAAATTTATTTATTAATAATAATAATGATAATAAATTACCTTTTCCCTTATAAATGACGACAGGTAAGGGAGAATAATTATTTGCGACGCATCGATCTGATAATTTTATTAATTCGATTGTTGATAATTTTTTAACCGTGCATGATGCTTTACGTTTACACACATAATTTAACTAAAAAAGAAAAAAAAAAAAAAAAAAATTAATACGTATGTCATACACGCACGCACACACACGCACGTGCGAAAGAGAGAGAGAGGGAGAGAGAGAAAATAAAAAAAAAATTTACTAACCGTTTTACTAAGAAAGGAACTTCGCATGTTTTTTTTTTTCAATTAATTTTATATATATCATAGTTTCATTTATTTATAATTTTTTTTTTGTTTTTGTTTTTTTACATATATATACTTTAAATACACTTTATTATTATTATTATTACTTCCCGTTCACAAAAAACACTTTAAATTTTACCCCAAAAAAAAAAAAAAAAAACAAAACCAAAATTTGGTGTGTGTGTGTGTATCGAACGCGTTAATTAAATTATTGTTTACATATTTTTTTTTTTTTTTTTTTTATACACAAAAAATGCAGGGAAAAATAAAAATTTTTGTCATTTGGAATTTTAGAAACAAAAAATGGAATCGAAAGAATGATGAGTTTTTTTTAAACCGCGCACACCCACATCCACACACACACGCGCGCGCAAAAAAAATTAAAATCAAGTTAAAATTATATATAAATATATATATATAGATATGTATATACAAATATCAAATATTATTATTATTATTATTATTATTTAAACTATTTGTTATAGAATAGTAGTACCTGCACGTGAGAGGGAAATTATATATTAAAAAAAAAAAAAATTTTAAATAAATTTAACAAGTGTGTCGACCGCCATTAACATGACGATTGGAGGTCATTTAATGTTTTTTTTATTATATCGATGCATTCCAATAATTGATTTTTTGTTATAACAAGAGGAGGTGCAAAACGTATGATGTCACCGTGTGTCGGTTTCGCCAACAATCCATTATCCTTTAATTTTAAACAAACGTCCCAAGCATTATAATCTGTAAAAAATAAATTATCATCATCATCATCATCATCATCAATAGTAAATAAATAAATAAATTAAATAAATTACTTTTATTAATGACGATAGCATTTAATAATCCTTTCCCTCTCACGGACGTGACCAAAGTATCCGGGATTTCCGATAAAGCATCCCTTAATAATTTTCCCATTTTTTCTGCATTTTCCGATAAATTTTCTTCTACAATAACTTTTAATGCTTCTATGGCAACTCTAGAACCCAATGGATTTCCACCGAATGTCGATCCGTGTTCTCCGGGTTTTATGCAAAGCATTACGTCGTCGTTTGCAAGTACGGCAGATACCTTAATGAAAATATTTCGTGTCAAATTTTTTTTTTTTTGGGGAGAAGGGGATAATTTAGAATGAATGGAGGTATACTTACAGGATACATTCCTCCCGAGAGAGCTTTACCCAAAATAAGAATATCAGGTCGTACGTTTTCATGATCGACGGCTAATAATTTACCGGTACGTGCTAAACCGGTTTGAACTTCGTCGGCTATCCAAAGTACGTTATATTTGGTACATAATCTTCGAACTTCTCTCAGATACCCATCTCGTGGTACTTTGACACCAGCTTCTCCTTGTATCGGTTCAACCATAAATGCACAAACGTTCGAATCTTGTAATGCTTTCTGCAAAAAAAAAAAAAAAAAAAATTATAATTCGAAAGAGGTACGACGAATGATATAAACAAAAAATTTTTTTATTTTACCTCAAGTGCTTCCGAATCGTCGTAAGGTATGATATCAAATCCTGGCATGAAAGGTCCGAAACCGTCGTAACTACTCGGATCACTAGATGCTGATATGGCTGCCAATGTCCTACCCCAAAAATTACCCTCGGCAAATACGATTCTAGCTTTATTTTTTTCAATTTTTTTTTTTATGTAACCCCATTTTCGTGCTAGTTTACAAGCCGTTTCTCCTCCCTCCACACCTGCAACATCGATAACAATTTTCCTTTGGTAACCGAAAAAAATTTGTATAAAAGGAATCCTCTTTCCCGTACCTGTATTCATGGGCAACACTTTATCGTAGCCGAATAATTTAGTTATGAATTCTTCATACTCTCCTAATACATTCGAATAGAATGCTCTAGACGTGAGGGTTAATTTCGATGCTTGATCTTTTAATACGTTTACGATACGGGGATGACAGTGACCCTGATTAACAGCCGAATATCCACTTAAGAAATCATAATAACGTCTTCCTTCCACGTCGAAAACATACACACCTGAAAAAAAAAATAATAATAATATTTTTAAACTCTTTTATTAATATACTAAACGCTAATAATAATAATTATACATACCTTCACCCTTACATAAAGCAACCGGTATCGGATGATAATTATGTGCGCCATATTTTGCTTCCTTATCAAATATATCTTGGGAAAATAATTTTTTTGGCGATTCAGACATGTTAATATCAAATTTTTTAAGACAATCCGTCCGAAAATTCTAGAAAAAAAAAATTAAAAATAAAATTGCAATAAAACATTAAAAAAAAAATTTTATTTATAATAATAATAATAAATACATTACGATGCGAAAGATGATGATGCGAATCGATTGAGATGAATCTTTAAATTAAATTTAAAAAAAAAATTCTCGTTTTGTTTTTTAGGTTTTTTGGATTACGTAACAGGTACGTTAAAAATATTGATCGACATCGATTTAATAAATAATCAATTGAAAAAAAAAAAAAAACGTGCACAAGAATAAATAATAACGATTGTTTTGGGAAAATAAAGTGCGGTGAAAATTAAATTTAATTAATTAATTTATTTATTTATTTATATATTTAAAATGATACACGTTGCCAATTTTTTTTATGGGTTAAAAAAAAATAACCTTGTGTGCTTATGTGACATTATTGATTAAAAAAAAAAAAAAAAATTTCCCAAAAGAAAATTTTTATTGACCGTTTAAAAGGAATTTTTTTTTTTAATTATCATTTAAATTTATCAAGGAAGCTGTAAAGAATTTGATGATCTAAAAATAAATTGATCTTGATCCCAAAAACAAAAAAAAATATGTCATCAATCATAGCATTAAATTTTTTAATTTATTATGATAATGATAATGATAATATTATAATTAATATTTATTAAAAAACTATGCACGTATAGGGTGTGACAAGTTATTAAAAAAAAAAAAAAAACATTTATAAAAGTAATAATAATTTTTAAAATTATCACTTTTAAAAAAATGTCACGAACGATTATTAATACGATTAAACAAAAACAACAACAATAAAACAGACAAACAAACAAACAAACAAACAACCTTTGAATAAGGCTAAAATCATTAAAAAATTAACAAACGTGTAAAACTTACAAAAAATTTTTTTTTTTTTTATAACAAAAAAATAAAATTTTTTGAATAAATCATTAAAATATTAACAAAAACGTCAATTGAGAAAATAAATAAATAAATAAATAAAAGAAAGTTGATGAGAGAGAAAGAGATAGAGAGAAAGAGAGAGAGAAAGAAATAAACATGGCGTCAAATTGATTAGAAATCAATTAAATAAAATGGAAAGTTTTTTATTTTTTGTTTTTTTTTTTTTTTCAATTATTTAAATTAAAATTTAATTAAGTGGTACTTTAATTTAAAGTTAAAAAAAAAAAATTTCCCAAAGAAAACAACATTCGTAAGCATTTAAAAAAATGAGGTCAAAGGTCATAATTCAGCAATTTAATAACTAGTTAAATATCTGACATAATTTACAACCGTAAAAAAAAAAAAAAAAAAAAAAAAAAAAATTACTGACATTTTTAATTAGACGTTTTTTTCTTTTTCTTTTTTTTTTGAGATGAAATGAAAAAACAAGCGTAAATTATCATTATCATTATTATTATTATTATTATTAATAAATTATTATTTGTTTTATAAAAAATTTTTTTTTTTTTTTTAAATAAAATTCTTAACAAATTCATTTTACATGAACAAGCAATACTACAAATTTAACAACCAGTAATTAAATATTAAAATATGATGTGACAATAATATTAATAATAATAATAATAATAATAATAATAATAATAATAATAATAATAATAATAATAATAATAATAAAACCTTTTTTTTAGTTTTAAAAAAATTTGTTAAGTAAGAGATAAAAACAAATAAGAAATAATTATTAATTACCTTGATTGATGAATAAATTTGTTTTTTTTTTTTCTTTATAAATATTTAAATATGCAAATAAATAATTAAACGATAATAATAATAATAATAAAATTAAATAATAATAATATGTATTTAAACCATGTTCTGTAATTGAATGAATGATATTGACTGACTGACTGACTGACTGATTACTACTTTTAGCTGAATTCTTGCCAAGGACAAAAATCAAACTCGTCGGTTTTATGTTTTTATTGGTTAATATATATATATAAATATATATAGTTTTAAAATAATAGATTCTTATATTATTTAATTTATATATTATTAAAAAAAATGTTTAGTCACGTGGTCACTAAATGTCAAAAATAAATTTTTGTTTTTATATATAATGTATTCATTTGAATAGTCTTAGTTTTCTTTTACAATTGATTTTTTAAAATTACAAGAAAATAAAACATAACCTTTCACAGGAGTGGAATTATTATTATTATTATTATTTTTTAAATTAACAAAAATAACATTATTATGAAACACAGAAAAAAACTTATAGAAGAGAGAGAGAGAGAGAGAGAGGGAGTGAGAGGGAGAAAATTGTTTTCAATAATAACTTAATGAAAGACTTTAAGTGTTAAAAATGTTATTAATGAAAATTTATGATTTTTACATAACTTATTATACATAACTTACATAACTGTATAAGTTAATAACAAGAAAATTTCATTTATTAAATATTAAACTATCATAATGTACAATGAGGATCAGCAAATAAAAGTTATTAATTAATAAATTTTGTTGTAATGAATCAAATTGTTTATAAATAAAAGTATTTATGAACATAATTATATATATACTATAGTTAGTTATGTAGAGTTATATACATATACTATTACAGTAAACCATAAATGTTATCATACATAAATTATGTAAATAGATTATTTCAAATGAGGACAAAGACATAACTTATGGTTTATTAATAATTAAATTTTCATTAACACAATAAAATAATAAAAGATTATTAATTATATAAGAAGAATAAGGATAAAAGGTTTTGAATGCATTAAAAAAAAGAAAGAAAGAAGAATTGTATAATAATAATGATAATATTTCTTACCTTAATAAAATACTTAATAGATAAATTTCCATTATTGATGATAAATTTTTTTAATAATTTCATTATTATTATTTTGATTGTTTTGATTTACAATATATAATAATTATATTAATCGAAATGTAATTAAATAATAATAATATAAAATTATATTTGTATATATGTATATTAGTTTAACCAAAATGTCATTTTGCATGTTTAAATTAAATGATAATATAAATGATATAAACGTACGGAATAAATAAAAAAAACATCACGAAATCAACTACTAATTAAAAACTATAATAAAAAACAAATTAAATAAATGCATTACAAAATTTCTTACACTTTTAAATTTAATTTAAAACCCTAAATTATAATTAATCACGATATGAATCCAATTATGTTATTTATTTTCTCACAGACATTGGCGCGTTATTGCAGTTTTAACCGTTTTTCTGCTGACACGATAAATTAAAAAAAATACCTATACCACAATATGTAACGTTTTAATTTTTTTATTCTTTTTACTATTAATTAATATTTTATTGTAAATATTTTATAATTTTTCACAGTACGTTTTTTAAATAAAATAATTTTTAGTTTTTAAAGTAAGAATGATAATGTGATAAAATGGCAAATTTATCAGTTATTTAGTTTTTAGTAAAATTTACTAATTTTTTTTTTTTAGGTTATATGGATACAAAAACTTCAACAGATTTAGACATAAATGATATATTTGATGAGATAACATTCTCTGAACAAAAAAATTGTGATGAAGGCTACGAAGAAGGGTTGATAAAAGGAATTGATGATGGTAAAATAGATGGGTATCATTTAGGTTATCACAGGGGTATCGAATTGGGTATGGAAATAGGTTATTACAAAGGAATAGTTAATCATTTGTCGAATGAATTTAATCAACTGCAGACAAAAAACAAGGATAAAATTTTTAATTTATTGAAAAAATTGGGAAATTTACTCGAAAATTTTCCAAATGAGATTTCGGAAAACGTTGATATATTTTCATTAATATCTGAAATAAGAGCACATTTTAAAAAATTAAATTCATTATTAAAACTAAAACTATCTTATCCGATTCTATATGAGAAATCATTTTGATATGTATACAATTTTTTTTTATCGGAAACCATATGTTAAGTTAAAATGAACTGCAAAACGACACAAGTTAAATTACATTTGACTAAATTAATTCAAACCTTCGAATCTGGACGCTCTTTGGCAAACTCTAACATGACAGATGCATTCACTAAACAATTATGGAGTAAACATGTACCTAAAGCCATACAGGTAGAACTTAATACTCAAGAATCATTGAAAACATTCATAAAACACTACTTCGACATATTGAACAATGAAACTCCTGTTGAATTTGCTCAAAATTATCCCAATTTGATATCATATTTTAATAATAATCTAGAGTATGTTATAACAAATGATAAAAACATAGTGCTGTCGTTGGAAAAATTGGAAAATATTTTTACAGAAAGGAATAGTTTGTCAAAATCTGATTTTAAATTTAAACAATGCATGTCGAAGAAAAAACTTCATGAAGTCAAATTGACAAGTAATGTTGCATCTTCGCTTTGCAATTTAACAAAGAGTAAACACATTGTAGATATTGGTGGAGGTAAAGGATATTTAAGTACAATTCTTGCACTTCAACATTCGTTGAAAGTCTTAAGTTTGGATTCGTCTGATTTTAAAACTTGCGGTGCTGCCAAAATGTCAAAAAGAATGGCAACGTTTTGGAGAGATGGAACGTTTAACAAATTGAAAGGAAAATGTCCGGAGTCGAATAAAGAAATAAGAGCGAAATTTGTTGAAACTCATCGTAAATTAGAACTCGCGTACATAACGCCGAAAACGAAACTGAAAACCATATTGGAAAAAAATTTCGACCAAGAAATAATAGAAAAAATAACTATGACGGGTTTGCACACTTGCGGTGATTTATCGCCGACATGTTTGAAATTATTCGTTAACGACTCCGACATAAAATCCGTTGTTAATTTCGGTTGCTGTTATAATTTAATAACAGAAAAATTTTTATACAATTCCAAAGATGACATCCGCGGGGAAAATGATAAGGATTTCGGTTTTCCGATGAGTGATTTTTTAAAAGAAAAAAAATTTCATATAGGAGAACAATCTAGAATGGTCGCATCATATAGTTTGGAAAAATTACAAAGTACAATGTCGGAAAATGCCGTACGTTAATTTTTTTTTTTGATATTTTCCCCCGTTTTCCAACATATTAACTAACAAAGCTTTTATTTTTTCCAGATGCTTCACACTTCCATGTTTTTTCGAGCGATTCTTCAAACTATATTGGAAAAAAATTTATGCCTCAAGGAAAGAGTCAAAATTGGAAAACTTGCATACAAAATAAAAAATTTTCACGAATATATAACGAAAGCAAACGAAATGTGTAATTTAAATATAAACGTGAGATGGAAAATTATTATTATTACTATCATTCCCCCCCTCCCCCCTTGTTATTTTATACTTACGATAATAATGTTAATTTTTTGTTTCAAATCCAAGATGGACGAAAAAGACGCGGAAGAATTATACGAGAAATACATGAGTGAAAAACCTAAATTCATTGCGTTATTTTTCCTTAGAGTAACACTCGCGCCGATAATCGAATCGATTATTTTATTAGATCGATATTTATTCTTACTCGAAAACGTAAGTATGTGAGAGGCATAGAGTAAATAAACCGCGCAAATCCCACGATGATTTGTTTTTTATATTTCCAGGGAATAGAAAATGCATATTTGGTTAAAATATTCGATTTGAAAATATCTCCAAGAGGATTTGGAATTGTTGCCTGGAGAGATTAACTTCCAGAAAGAAAAGAAAAGAGAGAAAACTTTTTATAATTTATTTATTTATTTATTATTATTACTATTATTTATTTAATTTGATCAATCAATAGAATTTTAATAAATTTTAATAAAAGAATATTTGTTTGTTTGTTTGTTTGTTTGTTCGTTTGTTATAACAATAATAAATTTTTTTTTTAATACTGGCAATTAATTAATTACATATATATATATATATATATATATATATAAAATTTTAATTTATTAATTAATTAAATATCACTGAATTTTCAAAACGAATAATAATAATAATAATAATTAATTATTTATTTATTTATAACAAAATAAATGATTCGTTCGACGTTTATTAATAATAATAACAAAAAAAAATTAATTTACATATTTACGGGTACGTATTTACAAAAAATTCTATCTCCAAACAACAACAGCAAAAAGTTTTTTTTTTTAAAATTCGTTGTGCGTTCTCATTATTATTATTTCTCCCCCCCCCCCCCCCGACTAATAAATCTCGAATGAAAAGGAAAAATAGATAAATAAAGCAAAAAAAAATTTCATTGACGAATGAGAAAAAAAAACTATCGATGGAGTCTCCCTTTTCACGTTATTATCATTATCATCATTATTATTATTATTTCATTCATGTTCGCGAGTACTACTACTACTACTACTACTACCACCATTCATTCATTCATTCATTCATATAAAAAATTATTATTTTTTTTCTTTCTTCCTTTCGAAAATTCCAAAATAAATTATTAACAATAATAATAATAATAATAAAACAACAACAAATAATTTTCCTCCAATTTTCCATTTAAAATAATAATAATAATAATAATAATAATGATAATAAATAAATTAATAAATTCTTTTTTTCTAATATATATATATTTTAAATAATTATCTCTTCTATTTTTATTTGTACCTTTTCTTGTTATTATTATTATTATTAAACTATCGTAATTATTATTATTTGCATTATTATTATTATTATTATTATTATTAGTATTATTATTATTATTATTAAATCAACGATTTTAAATCGAAAATCGCATTTAACTATTGCGAAACGAATTTAATTAAAAATTTATTTACTTATTTATTTATTAATTTATTATATAATAATATGAGTATGCGATTAATTATTAATTAATTAATTAATTATTTAAACGATTCTACAGCAGACGATTTTAAAAACTATCATTCCTATTATATATATATATATATATATATATATAAATATAAATAAATAAATTGAAGACTATTCACGTACGGCAGTCATTATTAAACATAATTATTATTATTATCGTCGTCTTATTACTAAATAATAAGAAAAAAAAATAAATAAACGGCGATGACGACGACGGATAATAATAATAATAATACAGAGTTATGGGGGGAGTATGATTGTGTGACGTCACAGAGGGAAACGTCATTCGTAACGATACGAACGACAACAACGACACAAGCGTTTAAAGATTCATTTCGACTTTTATTTTATTTTCGGCGGTAATGGCGGCGTCGGCGTCAGCGGCGATGACGGCGGAAGTTTAAATGGAAGAAAGCAAGAAAGAAAGAAAAACGAACGAACGAAAGAACGCGACATCCTACGATTTAACCTATTATTATTAATAACAAAAGATAATCCCTTTAAAATTTTCATCATCATTTCATTAATCTCTCTCTCTCTCTAAACTCATTTATCATCATTATTATTCACTCTCTCTCTCTTTCTCATTGGTCAACCGAATATAACCGCTGAATGATTATTCTTTTCGTAACAATTTCATTCATTCAATATTAAATCGTTTTAACCTCGTTTAAAAAGAAAAAAAAAAATTATTTAAATTCACTGTTAAGAAATTTCATCACTTTGTGGCCTTAGTAAATTAGTCCTTTCTTCCAGAGATGGATCATCCCCTTGATTTTTTTTCTCCTTTCCCTCTCCCTCGACGTGCTGTTGTTGTTGCTGTTGCTGATTCTGCTGCTGTTGCTGTTGCTGTTTTTCCGAAAACATTTTCATCAACGCGTTGTCTTCCAATTTGTTTTTCACGGGGCTGAGTGGTGTTCGTACGGGAGTTCCGTTGGGTTCGTGCGGAGAATCCGGTCGGATCCCCGGATTACCCGCCGGAGATTTCGGTGATTCCGTCAGCGAACTGTTACACCTTTGGAGAGATTCTTTATCGGTACTACCGTGAGTATGATTTCTATTATTGAGAATTGGTGAGTCTTGACTAGTTTGCCCTTGACTTTTATCATCTTCGTCGAGTGAATGCAATAACTGTAATTTATAACAATAACGAGAGTTGATCAATTTTAATTAAAATTGTTGTTGTTCAAGTTCAGACGTTCGTCATCCCGCCTCGTCCTATTTCTCTCTCTCTCGCTCTCGCTCTCACTCTCTCTTCTTTTCTTGTTTTTTTTTGTATTTACCTTATCGACTTCGTCGTCGAAATGATCGTCAGTTTTTTGAGAATTTTCCATGAGCGTCGCTCTTTTCGCCGCCAGGTACAACGATCTTTTTATTTTTATGTAAAAAACTTCCGTTATGGCTCGGACGGTGTAGTCGGCAACGAATGTTTGCCTGCTCGCATTGTCTAAATTCACGGATTGTAAACTTCCCGTGTTGCTCGTCGGTATCACTGCTGTTGGTGAATCTCCTGATAAAATTTTTATCTTACTGTCTTACATTTGTAAAAAAAAAAAAAAAAAAAAAGCATAAAAAGCCGCGGATTTTTCTCTCTCCCTCCCCCTCCCCCTCATTCATTCGTCAACAACTTAATTAATAAACGATCCGCCATCGATTCCACCATCGTCAATTCATTCCCGAACGATAATAATAATAATAATAAATAATTTAATTTTCATTAACTTGGAAGATGTTTAGACAGACAGACAGACAGCTTACCGCCAACTCCGTAGTTTTGAGTGAGTGCTTGTGTTCCAAAATACGTAAATGGACCACTTTCAAATTTCATTTCTTCTCTTCCTATGGTCACTTCGACTCTTCCCTCCAATATGAGTACAAAATAATCCACGGGTTTCCCCTGTTGATATATTATCGTCGAGGGATCCGTTTTTCCCTTTTCCCTATTTTTAACTTTTATGTGATACATGACATCTTGTTTTAACAATCGTTTCAATATCGTTTCCGATATAACGTCCGGCTTGAAAGCATCCACTAAAAACAAATAATTATTATTATTATTATTATTAACTAATTAATTCCGTTTGTGTCGAAACGAATATGAAAACAATGAGTAATTAATCACAGAGCAGAAACATAATAATAATAAAACAAAGTAGAGAAGAGGGGGGGAGGAGGATTCTCTTATCCAAACCTTTCACAAAAGGGCATAAGGGAAAAAGGGGAAGGGGGGTCTCTACAAACAGGGGAAAAAAGTAGAAAATTAATTTTTAAACGTGATTTAAATTTTTTTTTAAAAACAATAATTAAATCACAAAAGCCCTTTTATGTAATCCGTTTTGTTTTAATACTTTCAGAAACCTTTCCTGAATCTAATAAATGCGTGGAAGACGAAAATATCGTCTGCTAGTGAAAACGTATATAAAAAACGACCGTTACAACGACATTTTTTTGTTTCTGTCTTTCGCAACATGCTTTGTGGAATGTAAACAATGGTTCAAATGATCATGATGATGATTATGATGATGATGATGATGATGATGATGGTAGTGGTGTGGTTTTCTTTTGCATCGATAATAACATTATGTAAAAAAAAAATAATTTAATAATTAATTACTTGTGCTCAGGTACTGAAACGTTGCCAGAGTCAATTGTGGGGATATGTGAATCTTTTGATTTTCTCTCCTCTCGCAAAACGTTGTAAAATCTTGTTTCATGTGTTTCTTTTCTCTTTTCCTTTTCGATTTGTTGTCGGCTGCAAAACAAATAAGAAAAGAAAATTTTTTATCATACAATCACCACTTTCTTTGAACAGAAAACATAATCGATGTTTCTCATTTGTAACTTACTGAAAACGTCTGTTTCGTCTATTATTTCCGCTTGTATTAATTCTTCAATGACATCTTCCAATGTGACAAGACCAATGACTTCGTAAAATGGATCACCTTCTCCTTCTGCATTTACACGAGTGACAAAAGCCATGTGTCCCTTGTTACCTTAAATGTATACAAACAATGACAAAAACATTTTTTTTTAACATTATGGATCAAATTCGTTATTGTTAACACTTGATAAAATTATTATTATTATGTTAAAATTCGTTTTTTTTTGCAATTTCCTTCACTCGTCCCTCTCTCTCTCTCTTTCTCTCCTTCTCACCTTCTTTGAAATGCTTAAATAAAACATCTAATGTCAGATCTTCAAAAACGAAATAACATTGATTTTGATAAAAATCGCATAATTGTTTCAACGGCGTGTTGTCATCCGGATCGATGAAAGCAAGGTCTTTTATAAAAAGCATGGCTACTATGTTCGACCTCCTACCCTCGTACACGGGTATCCGCGAAAAACCTACAAAAAAAAACAATAATAATAATAATAAATGAAAACGACACTTTGTACGTTGTCGCAAAACAAAAAAAAAAAATTTCAATTAATTATCACCATTGTTGTTTACGGGGGGTAGAAAGAATAAAATGAGACGCTCCTCGCGTTCAACGGTTTTTTACAACAATCAAATAAGATTTTTATCATCTTTATCGTTTTTATTTTTTTAATTATTCACGTCGAATATTCTCGAACATAAACAACAACACAAATTATTAACACGTTCAAAGATTTAAAAACAAAAAAAAAAAAAAAAAAAACGACAAATAATTGTTAATCGATGTTTTATCAACGGTCGAAACAAAACAAATGAAAGAAAAATGGAAGGAGTGAGGGAAATTTTTTTTTTTTTTTTTTTCACAAACTTGGATGAGTTGGCATTACTGTTATTAAATGTTGATTTTTAATTCGGTTTATGTTTATATAAATATATTCTTAGCAAGCAAATTTTTTATCCGTTATTCGATCTCGATACGACGGCGACGACGACAGCGAAATCTGTCGCGCAAAAAATTTACAAAAAAATAAATATTTGTTTTTTCATACCGAATTTTTTTTTTCTTTTTTCCCTCCATTTTTTTTATTTATTTACTCGGAGTTGATGGGGGGAGGGGAGGTGAGGTGAGGAGGGGGGAACGTAAAACAATTTTCATTCTCATCAATTTAATTACGTTACGATTTTAAAAAATTGAATCAAACCGTAATATTATTTATATTTACCCGATTTCATAATGTCGGAAACCGTTTCGAAATCCAATATGGCGTTATAGTCCAACATGTAAACATCTTCCAATTTGGTCATGACTTCCGCAACGTTTTTCTTTCGAAGTTCCAATGCTCCTGATATTATATTAACTTCATCTTTTTCAATATCCGTTCCCGTCTGAAAATCATTTTAACAAATAAAAAAAAAAAATTATAAAAAAAATTAACTTATCGTGCTAATTTTTTTTTTTACAAGCGACAAACCGCACGAACAAATAATAATAATAATAGTTCCTCGATAACCCTTTCTCTCATTAAAAAAAAAAAATTCCTTGACATACAAACAACAAACAATTTTTTTTCTCAATTTTTCTAATTCGAAACGCAATTAAAAAAAAAATTTTCTTTCTTTCTCTCTCTATCTCTCTTTCTCTCTCTCTCTCTCTCTCATTTGAGTTAAATCGTTATCACATAAGCATAGGCAGCGAAAGAAAAAAAAAAAAAAGAAAAACGGTTTTTATTCGGTTTTAATAAAAAAAAAATAATAATAATAATAATTTTTACAATAAATTATTATTATTTCCTTATCTGACATTTTCTCTCGACAAACGAATCAATCAATCGGTCAATCGTTGTTTGTCGTTTGTCGTTTAAAAATACAAACGAAATAAATGAAATCACACACACGCACGTGTATATATATGTAAAACCACGCACGAGGGATTTGTTTTGTTTTTTTCCCGCCCCTCCTCCCTCCTCCCCCTCTCTCTCCCCCACATAAGATTTACTCGCATAAAAATAAAATATAAAATAAATTAAATAATGAGACAGACAAACAAACAGACAAACGAGCGAACAGACAAATTCTAATCAGACACATGATTATGTAATTTAAATAATATAATTTATTACGTGCGATGTTTTCTGTTTGTTCTGTTCATATTCGCGACGTTCATTCAAATCATTTTTTTTTTTTCCCGCCATTTTGAAATTATTAAATAATATTTAAAATAATTAAACGACACGATAAAACGTTTCATCCTTTTGCCCCCCCCCCCAAAAAAAAAAGGTAAAATTTAAAATTAAAAAAAAATTTTTTTTAATTGGCTTTTACCTTTCGGCAAATTTTCAAGTGAAAGTTAAAAAGTGTGAAAAATTACAAAGGAAAAAAGGAAAAAAGGAAAAGAAAAATTTTTTTGAACCAACCCCCCCACCATTTTTTACATCCTCGCACAATTTTTTTGTTTTCGCACCCACTCGTATTAAAAGGCCAAATGACCAGAGAAGAAAAAGGTAAAAAAAGGAAAAAAGGAAAAAAAGGTAAAAAAAGGTTAAAAAATTTTTTTTTTTATTTTCCTTTGCTATGCGCAAAATCCAAAAAATTTTCTTTCTTTTGCCTCCCCCCCCAAAAAAAAAGTAGGAAATTTATTTTTCATTTTTTTCATTTTAAGGTCAGCGAAATTTTTTTTTTTTTTTTTTTTTCGAAATGACCCAGAGGGAAATTAAAAGAAGGGGGAAAAAAGGGAAAAAGAGGGAGGGAAAAAAGGGAGGGAAAAATTTCCCTGATTTTCCACGAATTTTTTTTTTTTTCGTTTGTTGTTTCTCTGCGACGATAAATTTAAACAAAGAAATATTATTATTATTTTGCCGGAAAAAGAGAAAACCGATGGGGGGGGAAAAGAAAGGGGGGCGGCGACGGAAGGCGGGTCTGAGGGGGCGGGGCGCGAGGGAAATTTAATGGATTTTAAAAGTTGTAAAAACGTTTAACAACATTTTTACGCGTGACCAACCCAACAACAACAACAACAAAAACAATCGAGAGAGCAAAAAGGAGGAAAAAAAATTGTAGTGAAAGACTCGAAAAACCATTTTGATTATTATTATTATTATTATTATTATTATTATTATTATTATTATTATTATTATTATCGTTTATCATATCGTTAACGCTTTCGTAAAAAAAATTTTCCAGGTCAATTTGTCATCGACAATTTCCGTGGAACAACAAACAACAAACGTCATGAAAATTATTCTAGAATCATTCGGCGGGGAGAAAAAAAAAGATTTGATAATGATGCCTAACGATTTTTTCTTTTTTCATTTTCATTTTCATTTTCGTTTTCGTTTCGTTCGATTGTTTTTGCCAAAAAAAAATCCCGAATCCCACGAATCCCCTTTGCAATTTTTAACTTTTCCTTTTTTTTTTTTTTTTTTTTCTATTTGGCTGCCGCCATTTTAAAAACTCAATTTCACGTAAGTAACCGTCGGAAAAAAAAAAAAAAAAACACAAATGGAAAATTAATTGAATGACGTCACTCGTCGAAAATAATCAAAATAATTACTATTACGAATAAACGCGAGTGAATTTTCCATTCGTATTTTTCCACGTCGTTCGCCTATTATAAAAAAATACAAAAAAACGAAACAAATTTTTTTCTACTATATCATCATCATCATCATCATCATCATCGAAATCTGATTTAAAAAAAAAAAAAAAAAAATTTTCGAATAAATCAATGAGAAAATATTTATTTTCGGCAATAACAATTAAAAAAAAAAAATAAATAAATAAAGTTTATAAGGCATCCCACGCCATCGATTAATAATAATATAATTCGAATCAGATGGTCAAATGGGGGGGCGGGGAGGGGAAGGGGAAGGGAGCTGACACTCGCATGTGTGCACACAAATAAATTCGTGATGATGATGGAAATTCGAAAAACCGTGAAACGTAAATGCGCGTTCGTGCACATGCACGGATGCATGCATGCATGCATGCATACACGCACGCACGCACCCGTGCGTGATATCGTGTACGCAGATCGTGCACGCGGAAAATCCTTCGTGACACGATATATATATATATATATTCGAAAATTATGACGACGACGTTTACCGCCGCGATACGCGTCCACGTTTCGATATATATACGCGGATAAAATCCAACTGGACGAAATCCAAATTCGACAGTTGTTGGCTCGCCAATGAGGCCAACATATCAAAAAAAAAAAAAAAAAAACGATTCGAACAGAAAATTCCACGAGTGAATTTTTCTTTTTTTCGAAAATTTTCAAATTTATACGAACGCGATACGATAAAAAATTTAAATATCCCAAATCATTTGAACCATCTCTGGTGATGATGATGATGATGATGATAATGATGATGATCTAAATCACACAATTTTTGTTTTTTTTTTTTTGACGAAAAGTAAGAGAAGAGAAAAAAACGGTCATTCGTCAGTCAAGAATCCTTTGAGAATTTGCCAAAAAAAAAAAACAACTTTTTCGACTCTTTCACTTTCTATTAGTATTATTAATTTAAAAAAGAAAAAAAATAAAATAAATAAATAAATAAATGATTTTTTCTCTTTTGCTCTCTCCTCTCTCTCTCTCTCTCTCTCTCATAAGCAACAAAGAAATATGAATAAAAAAAAAAATTTTTTCCGACGTTAAGTTTTGCGTGACCGTTACAAAAAAGGGAAGCCATTTTGTTTTTTTCTTATATATATATGTAAATTAACCGAGGTGACGTCACGAACTCTCATTTTAAAAAAAAAAAGGTTTTGTGCAAATTTCGTAATTAATGCGTGTGTGCGTGCGTGCGTGCGTGCGAATACACGAATGTATGATATAATTAAAAAAAAAGGGAATTTTCGTTTTTAAATCGTTTGCGTGTTCCCCACATCTCCTCCTCCCCTCCCTCCCCTTTTTCCCCATAACCATTGATATCCGGTTTTACAAAGACTAGAGTGATACGATACGATACGATACGATACGGAAAAAAAAGGTTTAAAGAAAATGTTTTTTTTTTTTTTTTTTTACCTTGACCAATTCCTTGAGCCTTTCCCTGTTGTAAACGTTTCCGATTTCTTCTCCGAGCATGTAATCAAGAATTTTACTTATCGGAAATGCGACGACGCACGTCAACAATATGACAAACTTGGTGATGTAAATCGTTTTAGCTCCGATTGCGAGACCGTGACGTGAACATATGGCCTGAGGCATTATCTCTCCGAAAATGACGATGGCGAGCGTTGAAAAAACGACGGCGATCAAACCGGATGTCAAATCGTCCATCAATATCGTGAGTACTGAATTAACGAGAACGTTACCGAGTAGCAAACTGCAAAGAAGCAAACTTCCGTGACTTCGTACGGGCATTATGGCGGACGCATATTGCCTCTCGAGTTCCGTACCCGTCGTGCAAAGTATTTTCAAATCCGTTTTATCCATTGACATGAGACCGAGAGTGAGACCCGAAAACAATGCGGAAAAAAATAATAGCGATATTAAAATGACGATCGTCATCCATACCGGAAGCAATCTTTCGTACACGCGAAACTGAAGCCACTCATCCGATCCCTGGTGGTGCCAGAGTTTTTTCTGCGAACCCGTCGACGAATTCGTCGGCGAACCCGTTTTTATGCACAGGTAATAGGGCGCGTTGTTCGCGGGACGAGAGGGAACGCGGATTTTCACGACGACGGAATAATTTGTTTTCGAACCTTCGACCACCTGAAAAATGAAACTACAGTGTACGCTTACATAATGATATTACGTATCTGCAAACGAGGGGGGTGGGGGGGAAAACAACAAAAACACGAAGAAATTTTCCAAAGAAAAACGCAAGAAAGAAAAATTATTATTATTATTATTTATTTAAATCTCACCCTGAATATTTCCGACGAGGGAAATTCGCAAAATCCATCGTCCGTTTCCGTCGTCGTGAATGCGACTTGCAAATTCTGACTTAAACCTTTTCCGAACAACCTTATGTTGCACGTTGAATGAGCCAAAAGTTCAACGATTCCATCTTCGCCGAAAGAAGCCGAACCTTCCGAACCTTCGACTCTCATACCGTAAATCCCTATTTGAACATCTTCGACGGCTCTTTTTCTCTTATCCAGAGACTCCATTGTCGTTTCGGAAAAAAAATCAATTTTTGGAATTTTCGGCTCCTCATCACCACCCCCACCATCACCATCACCATCGTCGTCATCGTCGTCGTCGTTTTTGAAAAAATTAATTTCCCTACGCCTCCGAGTCGTCGAATTTGTTATTATTATGGAATCACTGGAAAAAAAAATTAAAAAATAATAATAATAACTAACCTTTTTAAAAATTTCGAGTTTCCTTTCTCTTAATTTACCTCTTCCCCCTCTCTTTGCCCCCTCTCCCCCCCCCGCAAAAAAAAATATTGAAAGGTTAAAACAATTGCAAATAAATCGTAAATCGACAAACAAATAAATAAATAAATAAATCCTTTTCAATAAATAACAATACGAGAAAAAAAAAAAAATTCGCGTTTTACGATTTTTTTTTCTTTTATTATTATTATTATTATTACCTTTATTTTTTTATTTCCAGACCTTATGTGCCTGGCAAATGACGTCACGCATTTACAAACTATTATCGTTACGACTCTATTAATAGAGAGAGAGAGAGAGAGAGAGAGAGAGAGAGAGAGAGAGATTAAATACGAGAATAAAAATTACGACTAAACGAATTACGACATCATCGATGAATTATTTTTAAAAAATGGAGGAAACTTTAAAATTTTTTTTATTTTGCCCTCTTTTTCCCCTCCCCCCTCCCCTCGTCAATTACTATCATTATCATTATCATCATCGTTATTATTATGAATCGAATGAGAGGCGGGAAAAAAAAAAAAACTTTTTCCACCTGATTTTCTTTCATTCATACATAAATATAAAATTTCATTGAAAAATTCTCACTTTTTTTCTTTTTAAACTTGAGCCCAAATTTGAAATTAGATTCCGACGTAGTAAATAAATAAATAAAGCCGCGAATTTACGCTTTTATTTTTATTTATATAAATTAAAAAAAAAAAAAAAAATGGCGGGCGCGAGTATGATCGAGCACAAAACAAAATGTCCGAAAATAAATTTTTTAAATTTCCTTTCAAAAATTTAATTTTTCATTTATTTGTATTACGAAGGGTAATAATGATAATAATAATAATAATAATATGTATTTTTATTATCGAATTCAGGGGAGTCAGAAAGAGAAAGAGAGAGGGAGTGAGAGAGAAATAAGAGGGTAGGCAGGAAACTTTTTCTCTCCTTGTTTTTATTACCGTTTTTTTTCGCTTTTTTTTTTTTTTTATTACGTAATTGAAATAAAAAAAACGACGTTTTATTATTATTATCATCATTATCATTATTATCATCATCATTATTAATGATGCAATCGTTTCTACAATCATTTATATAACGCATGCTATGCAAACGAATTCATCACATACGAATAAAAATTCTATTTTTTTTTTTTTTTTTTTTTTTGGTCTTTCTCTCTCTCTTTCGAATTTCGATTACTTTATTTTGTTTGCCATTTACCCTTCCATCCCCCCCATCCTCTGGGGGGAAAAAAAAAACTTAAAAGACTGGGAAGACAAAAAAAAATTATTAATGCGCACGTCCGAACGAAAAAAAAAAAAAACATTTCCCGGATACTTCCCTCTTCCTCCTCCCCCTCCCGTCGGAAAACAAACCATCACGAAAATTTTTCTTTCTTTCTTTCCCCCTACCCCTCCCGCCCCCATTCCCTCTCGTCACAAACTTTACAATATTTTCGCGAATTTATTAAAAACAAAAACGACGACGACGATGATGATGATGATAGTAGTGAAATTAATAAATACCTTGAAGGTGTTTTTTTTTAAACCTTAAAATTACCTTTTCGGCACGACGAAATAATAATAATAATAATAATAATAATAATAATAATAATAATAATAATAATAATAATAATAACAACAACAACAACAACAACAACAACAACAACAATAATAATAATAATAATAATAAATGAAATTAAATTCTCGACTATTGTTTTTCTTCTTCTTTTTTCTCTCTCTCTCTCTCTCTCTTTCTCCTTTATTCTATCAAATATGGCGGTTTAAATTTTCTAAAATGTTTTTCGTGTCATTTTTTTATTATTTTTTTTTATTCTAAAGTTTAAATTTCAAAAATATAAAAAAAAAAAAAAAAAAAAATCTTTAACTACGGATGAAATTAATAGCATTGGAATTTGAAACTTTTTGTGTGAAAAAAAGAAAAGAAAAAATCGTTCCAAAAACAAACACACCAACAACAACAACAACAATAAAGAAAAATTTAAGAAACCCCCCCCCCAAAAAAAAATACATATATTTTCCTATAATAATAATAATAATAATAATAATAATAATAATTATAATTATAATTATAATAATAAATGCATTACTTAATAAATAATAAACGTTATTACATGTCATCGTTTCCCCTTGTTTGTTTGCCCCTCCTCTCCACCCCCCACCGTTTTTAATAAATAAATAAATAAAAATCAAGAAGGAAAATATAGAGAAAAGCAAAAAAAAAAAAAAAAAAAAAAAAGAAAAGCAGAAGACGAATGGAGGACGCGTTTTTACAAAAAATGTTTTCGGGACGAGATATTTAAATAATAATAATAAAAGGTCATTCGTCAGGATTTTTTGCTAAAATTTAAAAAACGGGGCCATCGTTTCCCTCATTCCCCCCTCCCCCAAAATCCTATCGAAAAGGTTTCGATACGATTATCGAATTTTCGAGTAATCGCGAGTTTTTTTTAAAAATACAAATTCGATATACGTCATCGTACGTAAACAAACAAATAACGACAACGACATAAGGCGGGGGGCAAAGGGGGAGGGAACGATTTAAAAACCTTTATTAACAACCTTGCAGTTAACGATTCGTTAATTTTTCAAAAAAAAAAAATTATCATTATTATTATTAAACCGTGGTAAATACCAAAAAAAAAAAAAATATGAAAAAGGTTTTTCTAGCCTTGTGTAAAAAAAAAAAAAAACAAATATCTTTTTTTTTTTTTTTTTTTTTTTTTGTCATTCCTTATAAGATTACCGTCTAGTTATGTTCCAGGGAATGGGAACGTAAAACCATAATAATAATAATAATAATAATAATTTCACCCGAGGTCGTTGATATTTGTAAAAAAAAAAAATTTCATTGAAGAAAAACAAAAATAAATAAATAAACACGATAATCATTTTCTTTTTTAAAAACAAAAACGATACCTATAATAATAATAATAATAATAATATTAACGGCAAAAACGATGATAATAATAATAATAATTTTTCATTGAAAACAAAATAATAGACTTTTTTTTTTTTTGCAAAGCAAATGACGCGAATTTAATTAACAGGTTGGTTGGTAGGTAGGTAGAAGCCAGAAGCTCAATAGAACCTGAAAAAACCTGAAAGGGAGCTTTTATAAACGTTATAATTAAATGTTAGATAATAGTTTGCTATTATTATTATTATTATTATTATTATGCACTCTATTGTACTGTCAGATTTTTTTAAAAGAAAATTTAAATTACTTTATAAAATTTACAACTGTTTGACTTTTACTATTATTTACATTTAAAAAAAAAAAAAACAAATAAATAAATAAATAATGTGTATAAATGTAACAGATTACGATTGGACTGACGTTTAAATATAAATAATAATAATAATAATAAATAAATAAATAATAATAATAAATAATTTATGAAATGAATAAATTACTGAATGTTTTCATTTTTAAAAATTATGTATCCGCGAATAAATTTTTGCATTGTTTAAAGTTAACGTTAAATAATAATAATAATAATATAATCAAAGTCCCCATAGGCTCCCCATTTAAAAAAGAAGTTATATTAAGTTTTTAAAGAAAATTTTAGTTAGAATCATTGGTTGTGAAAATTTAATGATGTGACATAGTCGGTATCAAATCATTTTCTATTAATAAGATAATTAAACTTATTTAAGGATGTTATTCAATTAAATTAAACGTTTTTAATTTTGTGTGTGTGTGTAAAAGAAACTCCATTAAAAAAAAAAAAATGTTTAAAAATGATGATAAAATTTAATTATTAAAAAAACTTTGTACTGTCGAATGACACACTTTGAGTAATAAAAAAAAAAATAATAATTGTCAATGTTATGTAATATTTATTTATTACAACATTTTAACGACAAGGGAAAATTATTATTATTATTATTATTATTGAAATGTTAATAAATTATTTGTAAAAAAGATAATAAGTGTTAAAATGAATAAAATGTACCTCTCATTAAAAGATCAAAGTTTCTATTTGGTTGTGGCAAAAATTTTTTTACTCGTAAAACACATGATAATGATGATAAATAAGGGATGATGTAAACGATTAGTCGATATTTTTTTTTCTACCTATCGATAATTTATGGAAAATTATTTTACTGATAATAATAATAATAATAATAATTATGTGGTTTTTTGACCTCATTAATTCAAGTTTTTTTTTTTTTTTTCGATTATTCAAAATTTTTTTTTCGATATGTTAAGAAGATGAAGAAGGGGAAAGAAAATTTAAATTATCGAATATCAAAGTTAATAATAATAATTTTTGTACTGACCTTAATAATAATAATAATAATAAATAATAAGATATTAAATTCAGTGTCAACAACACGAGTAATTGATTAAATTTATCCAAAAATATAAAAAGAAGTTTCGATGTTAATTTAAAAAAAAAAATTTTTTGTCAATGAAAAATTATTTTTTTGATCTTCGTAATGCCGTTAATAAGAATTTGCAACTATCAGGTGATAACAAAATACTGATTAATCTACAGCTGTCAAATATATATATAATAATAATAATATCTAACCTGGGATTGATGAAAAATGATCTTTTATTGTCATTGTTTTGACGATTATCATTAAGTAAGAACACATTACGACCTTGGTGAATCCATTTTATCAATTCTCGACTGTATGGATTAATCGATGATTTCAAGGTCTCATCACCAACACATAAATACAAGGGTTCACGAATATCATTATTCACAAAAATCACTGTAAATAAACCGACGGTTTCGTTAACAAAACGGGGATGAAAAAAAACACTTTTCAAATCATCGATTCCACTGTCACAATAATCTCTTTCGTTACCGGTTTCATTCGTCAACCGTAATAACATTCGGGGATGTAAATTTTCACCCTCTATTTTAATTAAATAATTAAAACTTATATTATAACTTAGATTTTGTACTGATTTATATAGGACAGTTACTGAAGTTATTGAAGGGGGTGTAATTTTACTTATTTGACATTTCACATAATAAAAAAACGTAAAAAAACAAATACATTTTATCACAAAAAGAGATATACACCTTGCCATAGCGGAGTACTCTCGATAAGTACATTTTTTTTTTCTTTATTTTTTTTTTGTGCACATGCAGAATCCGCTCGGTTGCCAAATTTATTATTTATGTTCTCGCACCGAATTTAACTGTAACTATCTATTTTGTCATGTTTATTAACAAGGAAAAAACTTTTTTTTAAACGAAACAAATTAAAATGGATGTAAAAATTATACCAAATGAAAAGTTTTTATTTAAATACACGATTTTATAAAAGTGTCGACAAAATGAGAAAGATAAATATGACAACACTGTAAAGGGCGCAACTTTGAAAAGAAAGTTTCTAGCCTGGTGTTTATGTGTGTGTATTTTCCCTCCAAATTTATTTGATTCCTCTATTGACTGCGGCATGTCTTAACGTTTTATACAATTGTCAGTACAATAATTATATTATTTCATCAGTACAATATGACTTTTAATTGTAAGTAAAATATTAAATACGTATATTATTTTATAAAATAAAAGTTTTTATTTGACCGTTTGTAATAGAATTGGAATGAGAAGATATTAAATTGGATAACTATGAGACGAAGCTTTGCACCTAGTCAAATAGCTTTGGGAAAGAAGCGAGAATTGGAAACGACGGATATTAGTAGTAGTAGTAGTATTTCTAAAGGAGAAAGTAAAAGGAAACGGAGATGTGCTCAAGAAGTTCGAAAACCATTAATATCAACTCAAAAGTTTCCAAGTCTCATAAATCAAATGACATGTTCATTTGAAAATGTTTCGAGTCACGAAGATTTCATACGAAAAATATTATCTAAACCGTTCAAAATACCAATACCAAACTATCAGGGAGGTTATAATTGTAGAGCTTTAGGAATTCGTAGAAATGGAGGAAGGAGAGCTTTGCATGATCCGGATGAACCGAATGCTTTAATATTATTTTCCCCTCCTGAATTCAGTGCTCATGAAAAGCTTAAAACTAATTCAGAAGAACAATTAGTTCATGTTGTTGTAGATCCGATGTTATCTAATGTATTGAGACCTCATCAGAGAGAAGGTGTAAAATTTATGTATGATTGTGTGACTGGAGTAAAAATAGAAAATGCTTATGGCTGTATTATGGCTGATGAAATGGGACTTGGTAAAACTTTACAGTGCATTACATTAATGTGGACTCTGTTAAAACAAGGTCCAGATTGCAAACCATTAATTGAAAAAGCCATAGTTGTAGCACCTAGCAGTCTCGTCAAAAACTGGTATAATGAAATTAACAAATGGCTTAAAGGAAGGGTAAATGCTCTTGCCATTGATTCTGGCAGCAAAGACGATATCGATAGGAATTTACAATCTTTCATGAACACTTATTCTCGCAGACCTGTCAACCCAATACTTATAATATCATATGAAACATTTAGACTTCATGTCAAAGTCCTTCATAAAGGTGAAGTTGGCTTGGTATTATGCGATGAGGGTCACAGATTAAAAAACCATGAAAATCAAACATATCAAGCATTAATGGGTCTCAATGCTAAGAGAAGAGTTTTACTATCTGGCACTCCGATACAAAATGATTTGCTCGAGTACTTCAGTTTGATACATTTTGTAAATCAAGGTATTCTCGGTACTGCTGCAGAATTTAGAAAAAAATTTGAAATTCCTATTCTGAGAGGGCAAGATGCAAACTCTACCATCGAAGAAAGAAAAAAGGGACAAGAATGTTTAGAACAAATGGCTGCTTTAGTTAATAGGTGCCTGATAAGAAGAACTGCTGCTTTGTTGTCAAAATATTTACCTGTCAAAACTGAACAAGTTATTTGCATAACATTAACAGGATTACAAAAGCAACTTTACGAAGATTTTATTGCATCAGATGCCTTAAAGAAAACCGTGCGAGAAGAAAAAAATAGCAAAAAGGGAATGAGTTTAACGGCGTTGTCCGCCATAACGACTTTAAAAAAATTATGCAATCATCCAGATTTAGTGTACGAAAACATCATGAAACAAACAGAAGGATTTGAAAACGCTTTAAAATATTTACCTGAAAAATACGACATTAAAAATGTAAGACCTGAAATGTCAGGGAAACTCATGTTTTTAGATACGTTGTTAGCTCTTATCAAAGCCACGACAAACGACAAAATCGTCCTGGTTTCAAACTATACCCAAACGTTGGACTTATTCGAAAAGCTGAGTCGATTTCGTAATTATCAATACGTTCGTTTGGACGGTTCGATGACGATAAAAAAACGTGGGAAAGTTGTCGAAAAGTTTAACGATCCCGAAAGCAAAGATTTCATATTCATGCTCAGTTCGAAAGCTGGAGGATGCGGTTTAAATCTCATAGGTGCGAATAGACTCGTCATGTTCGATCCCGACTGGAATCCTGCCAACGACGATCAGGCTATGGCTAGAGTATGGAGAGACGGTCAAAAAAAACCCTGTTTCATATACAGACTTCTTAGCACTGGTACGATCGAAGAAAAAATATTTCAGAGGCAAGCACATAAAAAGGCTCTGAGTTCGACGGTTGTCGATAACGAAGAAGACGTTGCGAGACATTTTTCCCGAGACGAATTAAGGGATTTGTTTAAACTCGAAACGGGAACGCAAAGCGACACTCACGACAAATTTAAATGCACGAGATGCATGAACAAAATACAAATCAAACCACCTCCCGAAGGAACGGATTGCACGTCCGATTTATCCTTGTGGCATCATTGCTACGATAAAAAAGGTTTAGTCGATCCTCTTTTGAAAAAATGTTGGGAAAGTGGAATCATATCCTTTGTTTTTCATCACAATTCTCACATACAAAAGGACATACCTTGATTTGTTTAACGTTACAAATTTTAATCATTTTTTCTAAAAAAAAAAAAACAAGTGAGTATGACAATGACGAAATGGGAAGAGAAAACCTTTGGAATTATTTACAATACCTTAAACCGACAACAGAAATCCACAATATACCTGTTTCCCTTAAATTTAATTGGTAATTTCATTTGTCCATTTCAGGCAAAGAAAAAGTCGAAGAATATTTAATGAAAACTCTCAATCAATTTAAACCTATCGAATATAAAAAAATCGTACCTGAATTTTTCGAAATGCCCTATACGATCATCGAAAACGGAATAAAAATTCGAAGGTTGCGTAACACGACGGAAATGTGTGCGGAATTATTATTTCTCGAAATAAAAGTAAATTAATTAACGACATTTTTTTTTTGATTGAAAGAAATTTGCAAATTTGAAATCGATTATCGAAAAATTTAAATTTAAAAAATTTGCGCGCTTTTTTTTTTTTGTTTGTTTCCAGAAAGCAAAATGGGATGTGAAAGATATATTAATGACAGCATTCGATTTGGAATTGGAACGTAAGTTGACAATTGCTCAGACATCGATTCGAATTATTAAATATTAATAATAATAATAATTTATATAGACATGATGTCGCATTCTATTAAATTTAAATGGACGGCAAATAAATTTGTGGGAACTTCGAACCTGGGAGAAGAAGATCTTTGCGATTTGTTACAGAGAACGATAAGGAGTGAGAATAAAGATGCTGTGAGTGGTAGTTGTTTAAGAGAAGATGAAGAAGAAAAATTTAAATTTTGTATATTTACCTTTTTTCCTTTTTTGGTTGTAGTTGGTTTTGGTGAAGAAAGTCGACGACCTAATATGGATATCATTGGTTTTTAAAGATTTGAAAAAAATTGGAATTTATGAAAAACCTCGTTATGCCGTCATTTCATCCGATGGAAGATATTTTTTTATAAAAGATAAAAGATCAGCATTGATAGGAGAGGTAAAATAATAAGAAAAATTTTTAATAAAATAATCCGATTAAAATAATAAAAGAATTGTTTTCCTCCTCCATCATCATTAGTATTTGGTCGGGGCTTTAAGATACGACAAAAGTAAAATGATTAAATTATCGGGAAATTCATTGGACTCCCTTTTGAAATTGTTGAGAAGAAAGGAAAATGTGGATTTGTCCAACAGACCCGTTTTCACGCAGGGAGAAGCCATCGAAACAGAACAAGGAATCGATTTCACGTTGAAAAAAAGTTATTACGATTATTATAACGAATGCGTGGATAACGACGATGATATCGATCTAAGGAGTTATACGGTAACGGTGAGTTGAAATCCCCAAAAATTCCCGATTGTGGATCGTCATTATTATTATTATTATTTTTTTCTCTCCCGATTGCAGTCCGTCGGTGTTCCGTGGCTCGGTGACGACAATGAAGTTTTGAGAAAGATGGAATTCAAATCCGCCGTTAAAATATTAGGAAACGTGCCGAACGTGATTAAAAATTTACCCGTCACATCGATAGCCGTACCACCGCTTCCGAATTATTTAAAAAATTATTCCGTCATGGGAAGAAATGTCGTTTCGTTGAAACCGTCGAATTGAAATTTCGGGATTTTCTCCTCCTCTTTTTCGTTAATGTCGACGTAACGTTGTTGATCTATTCGCGGATTATCTACCATTAAGCCATTTTTTATCTGCAAAACGGCAAAGAGACGATTATCCTGGTACGCATCAACGCGTGTTTTTAAAGAACGAAACCTTCGGTACAGCAGCCATCTTGTTTCGTGTATAAATAACTCGAGTGCAATGTCCGTCATCATGAAAATTAATGATTCTATTCCGTTTTACGATTCATACGTTATTATTTGTATTTCTTTTTTAATTGAAAAACGTGCCAAATTTTTAAAATTGTTATTTGTGTGTATTTATTATTATAAAAAATAAATTTCATTAAAAATAATAATAAAACTAACTGGCTATTTATCTTTTATTTTATAATAGAAACCGAGAAAAATTAAATTGATAGAAAAGTACATTATTACGAAAGAAAAAAAAATATATTTCATAATCGATTTAAATGATATTAATAATTGTATAACGTGATTTAATAATTTATAAAAATCAATAAATTAATAATTTACTATAAATTTAAATAAATAATAAATTTTTTTCCGATTATGAGTGTATATTTGAAATATATATTAAAAATTAATATAATCGATTAGAAACTGATTGATTTGTTTTTTTTAATAATGAAAAAAAATTCTGCATTGTATGAAGACCTACAAAAATATATATATCTATGTATATGTAAATTATTTAAAATATGTATATGTATATATAATTATCGAAAAAAGATTTCCTAAAATTTATTAAGTTTAATATATAACTGGAGTCAATGAAATTTTAAATGGTCCTGGATATACTTTGGCAACATCTCTTAAAAATCTTTTAAATTTTTCTCCTATAGATAATGATTCGATAGGATGAAAGTATAAATATTGAAACATGACAAAATCTCTAGTTTTATTTTCTTCATCTTCGCTAAATTTTTTCCCAGTACGCCATAAGCATTTTTTAGGTGTCGATACGGCTGCGACAGAATCGTTTAAACTTTTAACAATTTTAATATTATATTTTTCAGCGAAATCATTTTCACCATCTGATATTTTTGAATAATCGCTAAAGTTATCTACTAATAACGTAGTACCAGGCAATATGAATTTTTTAATTAAATAAATTAACGTTGAGGGTTCCTTCGAGTGAACTTCGACTAAAAAACAATCATCATTACCCTGATTGACACCTTCTAAAAAACTGACTATCCTCTTTTGTTTGTCTATAAATCTGTCAATTTGATAATTACACAGGCTAACTATTTCATTGGGCCCTCCAATGGGCTTCGTCCTGTTACTGACTATCGTGTAGCACACCTCTCTACAAAATTGATAATAATCCATGACTGTAGATTTACTTAATTTAAGTATTTCCGATGTTTCACCGACCGTGTCACCTTTTATCCAACAGTATATTAATAATATGTTTTGTTTGACGCTTAAATGAGATCCGAAAAACCACGTATTCTTTGTAACTGACCATTTTTTCCTACATTTTTTCCTTGAGCAACGAAGTGCGTATGGAATTTTTAAACCCTCGTGAGATCTTTTGTACCATCCGACGTTTCCAATATTGCACACGGGACAAATAACATGTTTTTCCGGTAGTAATTTCCATTGTAATGCAAATTCTATAGCCTCTTTTTCAGTGTCAACTAACTTATTTAATTCTTCAAATAACATTGCATTGTGAAACGAGTAAACAGAGTAGAAGTATATGTAAATACTACGAGCCAATCAAAAACGTCGCGACTCCGCGTTGAAGAAGGCGGTGAAATGATAGAAAACCGCGCTTTTTCGTCCGACATCTTGTTCGAAAACAAAGTCGGTTTTTTTTAAAATTTTTTCAATAAGAAATTTTGTATTTTACGATTGTTTTTCGCACGAGGTAAAATAAAATTCTAATTAATTCATTCGAAAAGTGATTAATTCTTTAAATAACGATAATTAATAACTTAAAATGTCTTATTTTAAACGTTAATTACAAAAAAAAAAAAAATTTCCAAGTTTCCAATAAGATTTCGTACGGGGGGAAAAAATTGTACGTTAAATAATAAATAGAAACCGTTAAAATTTTACCACGAGATGAGTTAATAACGAATAATTATTGAATGGATTTAAGATTTAATACAAAGAAGTAATTACGAAAATGATATTTTTAAATTAGCAAGTATCAATAATTAAAAAAAAAATCGTCTGCTTTGATTCTAAAATTGAAAGCGAGAAAAAATTGTATGATAAATAAATTATTTACTCAATTGTTATAAACACTGTTGGTTTTTATTTTTTTTTAAAAAATTTTTTTTAAGTGCAATGTTTTTTAGAGTTTTTAGGGCTTACGAAAAGCATAAAAATGCTTTCAACATTCTCAAAAGATTTCGAAGCATGGAAAGAGGGTGCGATAGGTCACACGACAACGTTGCTAATAATTTATGCGAAGATTGCGATCTAACAGGAAAGGTACCCATCCACAAATTTCATTCATTGGGGAGGGGGGGCTGGGGGGCTGGGGGGAAATGACAAAAAAGATTTGAATCAAACATTTTTTTAAAAATAATTTTTAGAAAGGGCTCGTACTCGGTGCTTTCATATGCGGAGATGAAATGAAATTAAGTAACAGCGCTCAAAAATTTAACGAAATCACTGGTTGTAAATTAAGTGATTTTTTAAGTGAGTAAGTATCAAAATGAATATAAAATAAATAAAAAAAAAAAAATGTCCCGAAGGGATAACAACACATTTGTAAAAAAAAATTACATTTTCAGCTTGAGTACGCCTATGAAACTTGGAAATTCGGTTACGTTCACAAATTTAGACCCTGAATACTTTAACGTTTGCGTTGTGAGCGTGGGAAAAGAAGAAGTCGGCTACAACAGAATCGAAGAACTCGACGAATGTAAAGAAAATGTAAGAATCGCCGCGGGTACGGGTGCCAGAAGACTAAGAGAAACGGGAGTCACCTGCATCAATTTCGATGGTATGGGTCATCCGGAATCAGCTGCCGAAGGAGCTCAACTTGCTGTGTGGAGATATCAAGATTTTAAATGTAAAGATGATCAATTAAAAATAGCCATTGTCGACTTGTACGGAGATGATGATAAGTGAGTTGTTCCTTGCGAATACATTACTCAAATACGGAAAAACGATAATCAATGCTGTCAAGGTATTAACATATACACAGGTACACTCAAATAAATTAACATTTTTTTAACAGGGAGGCGTGGACAAGAGGTATTTTTAAAGCTGAAGCACAAAACATAGCAAGAAAAATGGCTGATTGTCCTCCAAATTGTATGACTCCAGCAGTTTTTGCTCAAACTGTTATCGATCTATTATGTCCTTGTGGTGTACAAATTGAGGTAAGAGATAAAGATTGGTTGGAGACGAAAAAAATGAATGCCATATTGTCAGTTGCTAGAGGATCCTGCGAACCTCCCGTGTTTTTGGAACTTGGTTATTGTGGTGGATCTCTTGACGAAAAACCGATACTTTTGATCGGTAATGATACTCTTCCTTCGAAATAAGTATGTCCGATTGGTGATTATTTATTAAACGACGTCCATTTCGATTTAGGTAAGGGTCTCACATTCGACAGCGGTGGCTTGTGTTTAAATGCTCCTCGCGGAATGGATGAAATGAGAGCTGACATGGCTGGAGCTTCGGTTATAGTCGGTGTTATAAAAGCAGCTGCTTCCATGAGTTTACCGCTTAATATCAGAGGTGAATCCCTCATCGAATATCATTAAACGATAATAATGATAATATAAACTTAATAATAATGTTTATGCAGGTCTAATTCCACTTTGCGAAAACATGCCAAGTGGTATGGCATTGAAACCCGGAGACGTTATTCACTCGATGGCTGGTAAAACCATATTAGTGCAAGATACCGGTCACGAGGGTAGACTTTGCATCGCGGACGCCATGACGTACGGTCAAATAGAATACAAACCGAGAATGATGATAGATATAGCGACCCTTACGACGGGAATGAAAAAAGCATTGGGAGCCGGTGCGACGGGTGTTTTTTCAAACGACGAAGACATATGGAAAGAACTTCAAAAAGCCGGAAGCATAACCGGAGACAGAGTTTGGAGATTTCCATTGTGGCAACATTTCACGGATAAAGTCGTTAATTTTCCCGAGGTTGATTTACACAACGTTGGTTTGGGAGTCGGAGGTGGTCCCTGTTTGGGAGCTGCATTCTTACAAGAATTCGTTTGCGTTGATTGGTTACATTTAGACATTGCCGGTACCGGTATGCTATCACACGGTGAAGAAATCCCTTATCTACCAAAAGGAAGAATGACGGGAAGACCGACGAGAACGATAATACAATTTCTATATCAGATAGCTTGCCTCGGTAACAAAGAAGACGATTAAAACAAATAAAAAAAAATATTTTGAGATAATAATAATATTTATATATTATATACTGTTAAAATAAGTTTTTTTACTTAAATATTTTTCGGCTTAATTTTTCACTTTATTTATATATGTGAATTGTAATTTTTTTTTTTTTTTTTAAAAAAATCTATATATTTTTAATTTTAATAAATTCTTTTGAATTCGAATATTATATCCTTGTTATTTTTTATGTCCACTCACTCATCATCACTCCTTCCATATTAATTTTTTATCATTATTATTAAAAGTGTCAGCCATTTTGAAACGAGTATTGAAAAAAAAAAAAAACATCAACGACCTCAATTATACGAAGAATTTTTTTTTCAAATGAATTTTACGTGTGTCTGTATTATAAAAATTGGAAAAAGAAAAAGGAAAAGGAAGAAAATATGGTAGAAATAATAAAAAAAATGATTTTACGTTCATGGTAGCACGTAGCTCACACGCAAGTTCTTCGTGAAGGAAATTTTCTTAGAAGGTTAGACCATTATTATTAGGTTTGTCTTCATCACAAGTTACCAAACTTGTTTTTTTTTTTTTTTTTTTTTGTAAATACGAGTGGTATATTAGAGGACGTATCAAATGATTGTCTCTCCATTTCGCTTTTACATTTTTCTAATATAACAAGTGTTAATTTTGTTCTTGTGCTTATTCTTGTGCTTCTTGTGTCTCTCTCTCTCTCTCTGTGTGTGTTTTAAAGTGTTTTCTTAGTTTTTTTCACAAGCTTAAAAATTTTTTCAATCAAGATCAAAGTGTTTAAATTGTCCATGAGTAAAAATTCAGGAGTTTCTCAAGTACCGTTGAGGTTCTTTCCTACAGTAAGGTTAGTAGTCATCAACTACCAAAAAATTTTTCCTCTACTATTCGATTCCTTTGGATAACGGATCCAGTTGGATAACAAAAAATTTTCCATTTTTCCATTGTTTATTCTTAAATATATATAAAATAATGATGATTCCACGTCTTGAAATTTCTCAATCTTCCAAATCGTTTCAACATGTTAACATAGTTACTCAACAATTTTTTTTTTTTTTTTATGATCCAACTTTCTAAGAATGGAATCTTATTATAACAAACGAATTTAAAAATTTCATTTTCCATCCTTTTCCATCGTTTTCCATCCTTTTCCATCATTTTCCATCCTTTTCCATCATTTTCCATTCGAATCGTTCTATTAAATCGTTTTTCTTTTGTTTTTTTTTCAGATTAAGCAAAAATTTAAGAACGAAAAAAGGTAGTCGTTTGGGTAATGCGGGTAATCGTTTAGAATTCCAAGTACTTACACGTCTTCAACACGTACCTTAGAGTGAGTACCTATATACGTTTTTAAAATGATGACGACAACAACCAAACCTTATTCTTTAATTAAAATTTTTCTTGTTATTAGTTACTTGCCCACGCCTAGAATCTAAACAATCATCCCACTCATCATCATCATCATTTATTTAAACACCGTACGAAACTCATCAAGTTATCGAAACATTGTCAAACAATCAAAACAACAACAACAACAAACAACAGGAAACAACCTGAAAAATCACGACTACAAAATGGTTCAAGGAGGAGCAAAACAAAATTCAATAACAAATTATTCATTTGATAAAACGATGAAGTAAGACAAAAAAAGTTTTTTTTTTTTTTTTTTTTTTACTCAAATCTCATTAATGTGGAAAAACAGGTACGATATCATCGAATTATTTTTCAGGGATCCATCACGGAAAAACGTACAAGATAAAAAAACTATGACGGAAAAGGATAAAAAAGATAAACTCAATGAAAAAAATCACTTGGGGTCATGGGGTCCAGTTTTTAAAAACAGGGAAAATTTTAACGAAATGCATTTTTGTTAATTATGGTCGTCGTAGTCGTCGTCGACATTTTCATCACCATCACCCCCACCACCACCACCACCACCACTTAAACAAAGAGCATGCAAAAGTTAACCCAAGCATTTAAAAAAAAAGAAAAAAAAAAAAAAATTTTCATTTTTATTCACGAGCTTATTATTAACCCGAAATGGCGGAAGCCATTTTTAATTTTCTAACGCCTCAAAAAAACAAAAAAAAAGTAAAAAAAAGTAAAAAAAAAAAAATTTTTTTAATTTAAATGGTGTTTGATTCAATCGATTAAAATTTAATTTAGAATTAACGAAAACAAAATTTTTTTTTTCTTTTTTTTTTTTTTTTACGAAAAAAAAAAAAACCCTCCACCATTTTCCTTTTATTTAATATATATATCATATTCAATTACCTTTGATTTTTTTTACAAAAAATAATTTTTTTCCTTTGTTTGTCTCACCCACCGGCGGTAAATTTCCTTTTCTTTCTCTTTCTTTTCTTGTAAAAAAAAATTTTCCAAAATGTATCACTAATTTTCATTTACGAACCTGAAAAAATAATAATAATAATAAATGATAAAAATTTCGAGAAAAAAAATTTTCATTTTAAAACGTTTGTTGTTGTTTCGAATTAAAAAAAATAAGAAAAACAGGTACGTGACGTCAAAAAAAAATCAAAAGTTGAAATTGTATACATCTCGCTCGGTTTATAACAAACAAACAAACAAACAAACAAACAAAAACAAACGAGAAATTGACATTGATTTTTTTTTTTTAATATAAACACAAAATTTAAGGGAAACAAATTGATTTCGTACCTTGATTTCAGGTCGTGAAAGGTTTGATGACGTTTTTTTCACGATCTGTTTTTTTCTTATAAAAATATTCTGTTAAAATAAGAATAGTTGAGAGTATGATACCTGAAATAAAAATTGAACCGAAATAATCTAGGGAAGTTGTATAAAAAATTTTTAATTTGAGTTTATTAATATTTAAGGGAGGTGAGTGGGAGGTGGGAGGTGGGTGGGGGTATGGGGGGGGAAATTGTTTGTTTATTACCTAGGAAGAGGACAAAAAAAGATCCTTGCATATCTCTCATATTAACCGTGTGACTTGTTACTTCTGTCAAACGATTCGTACTCCAACATTTATCTTTTTTTGGAAGGTAATCCTGTAGCCATTTATATATTAATCCCACTCTATGTATCCTTCTTATTCTAAAAAAAAAAACGAAAAATTAAAATTATTTTTTATACTCGCGACCGTTATGAGTTATTTAAAAAAAACTATTTCGTTAGTTAAATAATTTATTAATTAGAAAGTTGTGTCCTCAAATATCATATACATTAATGCAATCAAAAAAAAACCGTTTGTATATATATACTTTTTAAAAAATTATGCAATTATTTATTTAAATAAAATTTAAACGTTGAACTTTGACATTTACAGAATTTATCAAATTAAGTTTTTTCTTTTGCGACGAGATTTCATTATTTATTTATAAAATAATTTAACGAATAATAATAAAATTTTTTTTTTTTTTGATTCTTACTCTTGATCTATACGTGGAAGGTATGGATTTCCTTGAGCAATTACCATAGCTAATTGTTCTTCTAAAAATTCTTCGGTTCCTAACGCAAAAAAAAAAAAAAAAATGGATTAAATGAACACTTAAACGTTTAAATTATTTAAATTAAAAAAAAAAATACCGAATGTAAAATCGCACGTTCCCGTTTCCACATATTGTTTTTTTGTTAAAAATAACATATTAGTTTTCCAATCCATGTAAACGTGTTCTCCTTTTCGAATTTTTTCTATCGTTTCCGATTCTAATTTACGATACAATTGTGCATTATCGTATAATTCCTTATATTTTGGATCTACGTTATTCTGGAATAAATAATCACACCCGGTTAATATTTATAAAATTTAAAAAAAAAAAAAAACCAAACAAAATGAAGTTTTTATGTTTACTTTAAGCCTCAAATCCACTGGCGAACCTCTAACGAATCCCCAATTGAGACTATTTTTTCGTAGAAGGAGTTCTTGTATCGTGTTTATGGGCACGTCCATTTTTGGAAACGTTAAAAAAGCTACGAGATTTCCACTGTACGTCGTTACGATAACCAAAACGAATAACCACCAAGCTCCGACGATAATTCTACCGCTGTCGGCCATGGGTAAATGTATTCCTCCTGAAATAAAAATCATGGTGAAATGCAAATTCGAAACCTGAAACAATTTTATTTAGCCTTGGATTACCTTGTTGTAATAAAGCGCCATACATATACCATAAGCAGTTGGTAACAGTCTGTAAACCACCTGAGGTTCTCGTGTTAAAATAATCATAATACGGTGTAGAGCGATGAAACCAATTTAACAATGGTCCAACGATGGCTACTGCCAAGGCGATGCAAAGCCACGTCTGCGAAAGATTGAAAGCAGGTACAGAATCGAAATTTTTTTTTTAATTTTGAACACATCAGGTATCGTTAATACGAAAAATCTTACGTCTCCTCCGAACGGTGATAAAAATAAAAGAGCTCTGCTTAATTCTTGTGGTCGTGCCACTAAAAACGTATAAGGTTCGATTCCAATTGGAGTTGTAAAATTAATAAAACGTTTGTGTTCTGGAGATACAATAAAAGCAACGGCTCCTAAAAAAACTTTTTTATTTTTTATCGCTTCTATAATTATTTCCCAATTTGCTGCTATCGTTGAAAAATCCTGAGTTCCATTTAACCCCTGTAAATTGTTTGAAAAAAAATATATATTTCCGCGTAGCAAGCAGAAGATAATTCATTAGAATTTGATCTAACGTTTATAGTATAAAAATTAGCGTACCTCGTACTTTGCAGAATCGTTAAAAAAATTTTGCTTGTCTTTTTGCTGTGGATAAATTACAGAATACCTATTACAATAAAATAAATTATAAATTATTATAAACTTAATATTATATTTAAAAAAAATTTTTTTTTCTGTTTAATTTTACATTTTTCAAGGTAAACCGCACTCTATAATTAATAATTGCAGAAAAAACTAATGGGCTAAAAAAAAACTCAATAAATAAATATTAATAATGTTTGGATGCTAATAGACATTTTTTATTTATTTATTTATTTATTTAGGGTAAAAGATAAACCAATGAAAACTCACGAAAAATTTAAACTTTTAGCAAGTTCGTTGACTATTTCAAAAACTAATCCTTTAAATTCAACAAATTGACCAGATTCATTGTGATTAATTATCTGCCACGGAGGATGCTGTAAAAATAAGTTTTTTTAAATATAATTTTTTTATTAATATTTTAAAAAAAAAAATGAGGGAAGATGGTGACTCACATTAAAAGAAATTAGAGGTAAAGAACGACCGCGAAAACCGTGAACGATATGCGGAAATAAAATGTCTTTCATAACATGACCCGATCTCGGATGCCAAAGACCGACATCTTGAAGAAAATCATCGTAGCGCGACTCGCCCTTTTTTCTTATTTCAAATTCTTTACCCCAAGTTTCACCGGCTTTTAATAACCACGTGACACATTTATCACAACCTCCACTTTCAGACAATTTTGTCTAAAAAGAAAAATTTTTTTTTTTGATCGTTGAAAAAAAAAAAAAAAATTGTTTTCTGAACGTATTGTACCTTAATGTGAGAAAGTAAAGAAATGCGACGATCTAATTTTGTAGGTTTTATAGTTTCCCATTCTTCATCAGAAACCTGACTTGATAATTCAATTTCTTCTCTAATTAATTCATTTAATGAAACGGTAAAACTTTTTATGAGTTCATCAACGTGACAAATTAATCCTTCCTAAAAAAAAAAAAAAATTTAAAATTTACAAACGGGGATTTTTAGCTAATGATGGAAAAATTTTTAAAATTTTCAGGTATTTAACTAACGATGCAATCTGGATTATCTGAGGTTCCGTTGTATATGAAAGAAACATTATCGCCTTCCATGAGGAGCGTTGACAGGGCGGTTATATTGTCTCGAATTACATTTGTATCTGGTATTATGTAAAGCCATTGTGAAAGAGGATGAACTAGTCCTGTTGATTTAGCCTAAGTGTGATAGAATTGTACCTGATTCAAATGCATCTTTAGCATTTTGATATGCAAATCAAGAGGAAAACTGGACTTACGACTTCCATGATAACTCCGACAAGGTCACGTTTTGCAATTACCAAAAAATTACTACCCAATATTTTCGATGGGAAATTTGTTAGTATGTTACGAATTTGTTTCCTCCTGGAATAAAAAGAAAATCGCATTTGAAAAATGTTTTCTTGGGGATCTTTTCTTACACGTTAAATAAAAAAGAGACAAAAGTTTATATACATACCTGCTCCATTCGTTTTTTTTTCTTTCCAATTTAAATATTGATACTGATGCTGGATCCACCGAATGAATTGGTACCGACATTGACAAAGCAGACGTTATTCCTTGAATTTCTTCCCCGTCTAAAAAAAAAAAAATAAATTGAATAAAAAAAAATGGAATCGTACACTTGTAATGGTTAAAAAAAAAAAAAAAAAATTAACCGATTGCTGAAGTATCATAAAAAATAACAGCCGATTTCCAATCGATGCCATGAATTGTTCGTATGTCTAAAATAATTTGTGAAATTTCTCCACCTTCTCGAATCAACGGTACAGTAATGGCTTCTTCAAATGGTAAACGAGGACAATCAGCTTCGGTAATAGCAAGATGAAGAATACTATCATCTTCTGCATTACGAAATATTTTCCAAGTATTTTCACAAGATGCGATCGACAGAACGGCTATCAAATCTAAAATTTAAAAAAACACATCAGAACAACAAAATTTTTTTTTTTTTTTTTTTTTTTGTTGACAAATTTAATCGCCATTTTTTTTTTTTTATTAAATTTCTTACTTTTTTTTGGAATCGTGTTTGTATTCGTATGATATTGAACTGTTAAATCTCCATTTTTAACAAATTTTTTCCTTGCATCGGATATAAGATTTTTTATAACAAAAGATAAATCATCTTTCGATGCAAATTTTTGTTCAACTATAACAGCTAAAATTAAAACCCGAAAAAAAATATTTATTATTATTATTATTATTATTTCATTACTTTTCCTTGAGAAAATAACAACAACACGGGTATTACCTAACGTAACATTATGACTGTCGGAAAAATAATTTCCTCCTGTTTTTTTACAAAAAATAATAAGAAAAAAAACAATTCGAAAAATGAACAATAACATTTTTTATTACTTCTTCTTATTATTATTATTATTATTATTATTTTATAACAATCGATGTTATTTAAACCAACCGAGAAAAAAGTTGAAACTAAAAAACTAAAAAAGAAAAAAACAAAAAAAAAAAAAAAAAATGAAATGATGAATTATATATAAAATTAATCAAAATTTTGATTGATTTTTTTTTTTTTTTTTTTCATCTTGGAAAATCAAATAAATTTTTCATTTCATTTCATTTCATTTTTTTTTTTTTTCAATAGTATTTTTGACAATAAAAAAAAAAAAACAAAATTTTTATAAAACAAGGTATCAATATGAGACTACTTTAAATTTTTCATCATGACAAAAAAAAAAAAAAAAAGAAAAACATTTTAAATATTTTTTCAGAAATTTAAATTTTTTATTTATCCTTTTAATTATTTAATAATTTTAAGAGTACCATTTTTTTTTTTTTTTTTTTTTTGTTGAATTACTATTTATAATAATTCCATATATGATAAATTTATAACAATAATAATAAGTTTTCTAAGAAATGGATATTATTAATCTATGGCGTAGATAATACGAATAAGGAAAAACGAAAAAAACATTTTTTTTTTTTTTGCATCGTTGATAATAATAAAAATTTCCAAAAAAAAAAAAAAAATTTAATTTCGCGTGTTATATCAAAAAGTTAATAAAGGTCAATAATTTTTAATTTAATTTTTTTTGTATTGTCTTATTAAGTACTTATCGTTGTTTCATTTTAATATAAATAAATAACAACAAAAATTATTTTTATATGTTTTTTGTTAACTACACTTGCATAATTACTAAATTTTTATAAATAAATCCCAAAAAAACCTGAAATTATTTTTAATAATAATAATAAGTATTATTATAAATAAAATATCTTATAAACTACCTTGACCTAGACTAAATAAAAAATCAAACAACAGAATGTCACTTGATTCATCATCATCATCATCATCATCATCATTATTTAATTGAATTTCAATTGTACAATTGATTATAAACAATTTTAAATAACAATAAGTTGTTGTTGTTGTTGTTGTATTGCATGGTTAAATTTTTATGTTTTTTTATAAAATGAATTCCTATGTACACCCCCATACATAATTAAAACACAAATTATTTAAAAGTTCAAAATGTTATAATTAAATAAAAAATCATTTAAAGTTTTTATATAAAAAAAAAAAAAGGTTGTGTAAGTCCTTACCTGAACTTCAAGGGAAACTTCTACCTCCTTTTTTTTTTTAAGTCATTTTTCTTTTTTTTTTTTTTTCAAATATTTGTGAATCATTTATGTGCATTGGTTGGTTGTTTTTTGTATTGATGGAGAAAAAACTTGTATTTTAACATATAAATGTGATGGCACCGTCTTCAACAACTTTATATTTTATCATTGTTTCTTATTATATCAACTCACAACTGAAATCATTATGTAAAATTATTATTATTATTATTATTCATATATAAAACTCGCTGTGTTATTAAAAAACGACGACACCATTCTCGTGGTCGAGATGTTTTCTTTTAAAGGAATCAGGTCAAACTAATCATAAGGAATTGGGTTAGTCAAATGATAACCATGAAACGTCAAATCGTTTGATGTTTGCATGTTGAGTAATTGATTTGCTGTCACTTATTTTACAAATTTTAAAGAGTTCTGACTAATATTTCTACAAGGGTAAACAAAACTACTATTACTACTACAACGAACAATGAACCCCCCCCACCCCATTAGTCATTAATTACTTTATCAAATGTCTAATTGGTATTAGGTGACTAAACCATTGGTAGCCATTAATGAAGTGGTGGTGGTGGTGTGCTTACTAATTAACTAATATTTCATATGAATTGTATCAAGTTACTAGTTTTTTTAGTTGAAAGTTATCTTATTACTAAGTAAAACAACTAAAACAACTTAAATTGAGATGCTAAACTTAACTTTATACAAAAAAGATATAGAAAATTCCATGGGGTACCATAAAGTATGTAATATAAAAAGTGGGGACAAAAGGGGGGGGGATAACAAGGTAAATTTTTAGTAATTACAATTAAAAAAATATAAATATAATAAATAAAAATATGTATTTTACTAACTTGCCTCCTGAATTTTATAGTTTTGGCCTTACTTAAGTTCAATTTACAGTCTGCTAAGGAAACTCCTAATAAATGCTTCCTTGATGACGCGTCGAACTTCACGTCTAACATTTTAAATAATATAAAATTACACTTAATAAACGTTTGAGGAAAATAATAAACAAATATTAAACATTAAATATAAATAAACGATATTTAAAAAGAAAAAAAAAACGTTAACAAAAGTAAAAGAATAAAGAAGTGCAAACGGTTTTTCAAAATGATTGATGATTGTAGCAGAAGACGTAATTTTGGCGCAAACCAATCAGAAATTTTTTCCGATCGGGCGCCATTTTTATTTGCGAGTAATTTGAAATTAACGGTAATGAATAAATAAATAAAACAATTTTTTTTCTTTTTCTTTTTTAATAATTACAGTCTTTTATATTATACAAAATAAAAAATAAAAATTTGAACAACAATTGTATAATATATATTTTAAATAATTGAATATAGATAATTTATTGTAATTAATTAAAAAAACAATTTCAATGCATTTTTCATAATAAAATCATTAAAGGCACATTTAAAAAAAAAATTGCACGATTCGATTTAAAAATAATAATAATTTCCGTTAATATTTTTATTTTAAATTTTTTAGGAATCGTGAAAAGTAAAACGATCGAAATTTATAAAAATAATTATTTACAATTATCAGGTGTGGACAAAATTTCAAAAAAAAAAAAAAAATACTACATACGTCTTTTTCTACACATTTGAAAGGCACATTATTATTATTATTATTATTATTATTATTATTATTATTAAATAAATGGGATTTTTGTCAAAAATAATTCTAGCAATACTAAATATAATTTTATTTAACTTTTCAAATAAAAATTTTGAGCAATTTATTAATTCTTTTTTTTTTTTTTTTATTTAAAATGTCTTTTATGTAAAATTTTATTGTTTACATATAAATCTGTATATATATATATAAAAACAAATAACAATCATTTTATATAATATTATTATTATTATTTTTTTTTTATTTATAATTACACCAACAAAAATTATTATCATTTTAAAAATGGCGATTTCTTGTTTTTTTTTTTTTTTTTTCTTTATATTTTTTACAAAAAAAAAAAAATACAGAGATCATTATAATAAATTATTATTACTATTATTATTATTATTTAAACATTTATTCAATTTTTTTTTTAAATCAATTATACATTACAATACCTTTGTAATTAATCTTACAGAGTATATTTAATTAGAAATACTAATAATAATAATAATAATAATAATAATAATAATAATAATAATAGGATTTTACATGATAGAAATCTCACAAAAAAAAAAAGAAATAAGTATTAATTTTTTAATTTTTTAATTTAAGTAATTAATTTTTTTTCTCTTTATTGTGCTTTTTTTTAATAAAAAGTCTTTTTGGCACATACAGGGGCAAAAGGGGGGCAGGGGGCAAGAGGGGGGGGGGCAAGACAACACAAAAAAATTCCAAAAAAAAAAAAATTACAACCGGATATAAATAATATAACTAATCCAAAATTTAAAAAAAATTTTTTTTGATTTTACAAAATAAATTTAATAAAATAATAATAATGACTACGACGACGACGGCAAAATTGATAATAATAATAATAATAATAATAATAATAACTGATTAAAAGGTAATGATGGGATCGTAGTTTTAATTTCCTTGTTTTACCGGTGGTGAGACTAAAGACTACCATTTCCGGAATAAACAACAAAAATATTTAAAAAAAAAAAATTACAAAAAACCTGTTATTTAACGATTTCGCAAACTCACCGACAACAACAACAACAACAACCAACCAATCAAAAATTTTCTCTTTTGTTTGTTTGTTTGTTTGTTTGTTTAACCAAACAATCCGACGATGATTCAAAAAAAAAAAAAATTGTTATTGTTTTTTATTTTGAATTAAAGCGCGAAAACAATTCTTTATTCAAATACGATAATAAAAAAAAAAAAAACAAAAATTTTCAACCGGAAACGATTCTGGAAAATTTGTATAAAAAACCTTTTTCTCCTACTCCTCCACCTCCTCTTCCTGTTTTTTTCGACCGTGAAATTTTCAAAAGCATTTTTTGAACAAAATATCCTCTTTAAGCGTAAATTGTGATAACACGTATATATATATACTATCAGATAATAATAATAATAATAATAATAATAATAATAATAGACTAAGTGAAACATTAAAACGCTCTAGAACAATCAAAAAAAAAAAAATTATTTAAATAAATAAAACCTTAAGATAAATTCTCAACACTCAAAACAAAAATAAAAAAAAAAAAAAAATAGATTAAAAAACTCGAATCCTTTCGCGATAGAAAAAGGTTCGATCGTGTGAAATACCATTCTCACACAATAATAATAATAATAATTCGTAATGTGGTACGAAGACTAGACATGCTTCGATTTTGTTATAACAGCATACTCCATGTTATTATAGACTTTGTGCTTGGGCGGAAGTCGGAGAAGATCATTTTGAATTTGATTTTCCGGTTTTTTCCTTATCACGCCGTAGCCCAAATGAGAATCGTCGGCCATACGAAACGTTTCGATGGGTCTTTCGTCGACTTCGTCGTAATCGTGAAATGTATGATTTAAACTATTGGCATAATTTTCGAGCAAACTATATCCGGTATCGGTGGTAATGGTGGTGGTAGGACTCGGACTCGAAGGACTCGAATTCGAATGATTTATTATTATTTGTTTGTAACCGGATTTTCCATTTGTTTTATTCAAAGTGCTACCGAAATGTTGGAGCGTGTCGTAATTTCCAGACACCGACGCGGGTTTGATGGGTAAAAACATAAACTTTTGACACGGTTTGGACGTGGATCCGCCATTTGTCGTCGTCGCCGCCGCCGCCATCTTGTCGTTTTCGTTTTCTTTCATCAATTTCGAATCATCGACGACGTTGTCCAATATTTCGTAGTCCAACGACGAATCGGAAGAATTTATAATTTGACTAAAGGGCCTTTCCGTGTGTGTCATTTCGTCGACTCCCAAAGTTTTCCAAGCTTCGTGCCTGATTTCGACTTCGTCGTAGGGCGGCGTCGAGTTTGAAACGTCCGTGGAAATTAAATTGGATAAACAATTTTGTTGTTGAGACATCGGAGAATCCTGTTTGGCGAGGGAATCGTTTTTCTGACGATAAAATCGTTTCGAACCGGATTCTTCTTCGTTGGCACATTTTTGACTGCTCGAAATAAATATATTTTTCCGGGGGGGCTTCATAGGCTTTGGTTTAAGAGGAGGAGCTACTAACGATTCCGCATATTTTCCCTGAGACTCGGGTGACTCGTGTATATCTATATCTACTAGTGTCGCTCTGAAAAGATTAGGAGATTTCCTACTATTTATTTTATCTAATGAATTTTGAGATACCGAAGATGATTTGGGATGCAGGTAAGGGGGGGCGTTTAACGAATTCAATGAATTCGTTTCCGACGTCGGTGATATTAAAGATTTTTGTTTGAAGGGAAGAGGGGGAGATTCGAAAGAAGATGAATGAAATAAACTATTGTAAGATGTGGCTTTAGGTTTCAAAGGGGGACCCGTGTTAAATTGACCGTTCGAAAGACAATCCACGGATTTAAATTGAGATGAACCGTTTAAATCCAAATCGAGTATGTTTGTGCTCGTGTTGGGTGACGGAGGGAGCGGGCTCCTCGACCGCGCTTCCATACTTAAAGCAGCTTGAAATTGATTTGAACTATCGCTGCAGAAAATTGACGACGACGACGGGATTTCACCGCCCAATAATTTTCTCATGCTTTTCATTTTCAATGACAAACAACGATAAATTTCCTGTTGATTGCTGTATTTGAGTTGAAATTCCCCCTCGCCCGTTTCACATTTTCTACCTGCTTCGAATGTGAATTTACCATCCCTGTATCCGTATTTTCTAATATATAAATAAGGCCACGTAAATAGGAGCTGTTGTTCTTTAGAATCTCTAAGTTGTATTGCCGAAGATGTTAAGAGTAACGTATAAGGTCCAGGATCGAGACCGCAACGAGATGAAACTTCCGACTGGACTAATTCGACCGAAAACAAACCTGAAATTGTAAAAAAAATTTTTAACATACAATAAAAAAAAAAAAAAAAAGTGGAAATTGTATGATTAATAAATTTCTTAGAATCTAAAACGGGAAATTCCGTTTAGAGAGAGCGGGAATCAAAGAGAGAGAGAGAGAGAGAGAGAGAGAGAGAGTGATGATTCCCTCAGGTGATTTGCGGTTTGATTACATTATTATTATTATTATTATTATTATTTCGTCGTTTAAAAAACTTTTTTTTTTTTGGCGTATTTAATTTTCCTGAATAATTTAAGGATCAAAAAAAAATTACAAAACAAAAAAAAAGGGGGGGGGGGAAATTGTGATAATGGGCATTTCACACTTGCCCAATTTTCATTCTAAATCTAAAAATAAAAATCTATACACGGATTTTAATAGTTTGGATATTTTATTTTTATTTTTTGTTGCTAAATCTTATCGAAATTAAATTTATTTATAAAATTTAACCCTGATTCAATTTATTCAATGATCAATCCGGTTTCGTTAACCTACCTACGCTAGTAAGCCTAAAACGTAGCTAAATAACGAGAGTAGCATAAAAACTAGCATAAAATCAAAGAATGGACATTAAATTGTTATGAAAAAGTATGATAAGAATATAAATGAAATAAAAATGATAAGATTTTTTATTATTTTCATAAAGTATTAATTAAATTGTTTCGAACAAGCATACATACATACATACATACATATATACATAGATATTCGATTGGCAATGTCATTAAAAATGGAAGACGATTAATAAATATTTAAATTTAAAAAAAAAAAAAAACAAAATGAAAAAAGAAAGTTATGCTTTAATAAATTGTTATAAAACATTATAAGAAGGAGATCAATAAAAAAAAAATTACATATATAATTTAAAACCTTCTTTACAGAGTGAAAATTATGAGTCATCGATATACTAATAATGAGTTATAAAATTGTTATGGCATTTATTTTTATAGGTCTTTAACATCATATTAAATAAATGTCATTGTTAAATTATTATTTTCAATATTAAATAAAAAAAATAATATAACATACCTTCTCCAGATGGACAATATAATTCATTATCTTCTTCTATACTTTGAGTATTTGAACCTTCTTTAAATGCGACCGATTGAAAAGCAGACAACCATTCAGGCATTTCATTATCTTCGACGGAAGCAAAATGATAACTTGTTGTTCTTGTAACAACCTAAAAATTAGAATTTTTGATTAATATCAATGTTTTTAATGTTATTTTAAAGTGAAAAAATACTTTTAAAGATTAAAGAATTATTCGAAATAAATTATCGAGAAGTCCTTTATCAGTTAAAACAGGGGGGAAAAAAAAAAATGGAGGCACTTACTACAAACACGTTCGGTTGGAGTTTTTGAGGATCTGGAATGATTTTTACACAATTTTCTAAAGTGATGAATCGACCAGAAGTACATGAATTTGCTTCATCTTCATTGTCGAAAAATTCTAATCTTTCAATACCATACTTGCTTGCTTTATAAAGATGGCAATATTTTTTTTGCCATGATTTCTAAAAAGTACAAACGGAAATATATGTAGATCATTTCGAGATATGATAAATACTAGTTTAAATAAGAAAAATTCATTTAGAATTTTTTTTTAAAACTTTTTTTTTACTTGTATATTATTCAATATTTTTTATATTGTAGGTTCGATTTAAAAATTTATATATTCGAGAATTTTAGATAATTCGATTAAAACACTTTTAGTAGCATGACACAATAGCAAAATACACTTTAATACTAAAACAAAATTTGAAATTTAATAAATCATTTAAAAAAAATTCCGGTTGGTAAAATTACACAACAAAAAAAGA